GATGGTGATATAAGTTGAAATGGTGTTATTATTTTTTAGAAAATTAAAATTTTTTACAAATTGTTTACTTCTTTTCCAATTTTTTGATTGACTAACCTTTTTCTTAGAAAAATTGTCCATGTTTTATGTTGGACAACAACTAGAAAATGAAAGGAGAATAGTAAACCAAGAGTCTCAAATAACTCCATATAATAAATTCCAATTTCATCAAAATGACCCAAAAAATAAATTTATTAAATAATTGTAATTAACATGATATTATAAGTTTAATGTAACTCAAATGAATTCTTGAATCTCAATACAATTGTTTTTCTTAGTTTAAGGTAGGGGTGTACTTGAGTCGAGCTCGCCAACTATGTTCAGCTCGAGTCAGATTTGGTGAGCTCGAGCTCCAGCTCATCGAGCTTTCATTTGACGAGTTCGAACTCGAGCCTAAGTTTAACCGATAGTTTAAGGTGAGTTATTTACAATTTTGAAATTAGAAGTGGTGGATATGTAATTAGATGAAAGTAACGAGGGCTCGGTGAAAATAAAACCCTTGGCTAATATCACTTCAGCTGCCCGGCTGCCCGTGTTCTTTGAGCAGTTAATAAAATACAATAGGAAACGTAAATAAATATATTATTTATCAAAGGGGCTCTTTGACATAACCCCCCCATTACTTTTTTTAATGGGGATAGGCCCAAAATATTTTAGACCATTTGAGAAAAGCCCATGGTCCAATTTCAGCCATTGTGTTTCCCAGCCTTACCCCCGCCCGCCACCTCATCACAGCTGGGAGCGCTCCAGCGATTTTTTTTTTTTTTTTTTTTTTTTTTTTTTTTTTTTTTTCCGTTTTTTTAATCGACTATGAAGCATAGTCGATTAAGCCTTAATCGACTATGCTTCATAGTCGATTAAGGAAATTATTTATTTTTTAACTTTTTTTTTGTTTCTAATTTTGTTTTTATTCTTTTAACTTTTTTTAAGGAAGTTTTTTTTTTTTTTTTTTTTTCTCTATCAGGTTCATTAATGGATAGTCGATTAAAAATTTAACTACTAAAAATAACAAATCACAATTACAAAAAAAATACAAAATCAATTATATTTAAAAAAAATACAAACTTTGTAATTGATTTATACATTGGAATCAATAAAACAAAAAAATCAAAAAAAAAAAATTAACAACTAGAGTAGGTTAACCTTAATCGACTACTGAACATAGTCGATTAAGCTTAATCGACTATTGAACATAGTCGATTAAGCCTTAATCGTCTACTGAACATAGAGAACAACGAAAAAACATAGAGCAAAAATGGCGGACAGAGAAGAGCAGAACCACCAGCACATAGTGATGCTGCCGTTCATGGCGCAAGGCCACCTAATCCCATTCCTAGCACTAGCCAACCAAATCCACCGCCGTTTCGGCTTCACAATCACCATCGCCACCACTCCACTCAACCTCCACCACCTCGCCGCCGTCGTAGCCAAAAACCCTACACCAAGCTCCGGCATCCACTTATTCGAGCTCCCGCTCAACACCTCCGACCACGGCCTCCCGCCAAACGCCGAGAACACAGAATCCCTCCCCTTAAACCTAGTCGTTAACCTCTTCCACTCCTCAACCTCCCTCGAACCACCGTTCCGTGCCCTAATTCAGAACATCACCGCCGATCAAAACGGCCGCCCTCCCCTCTGCATAATCTCCGACGTCTTCATGGGTTGGGCCAACGCCGTCGCCGAATCCTTCGGCACCGTCAACGTGACCTTCACCACCGGCGGCGCGTACGGCACCGCCGCATACGTATCCCTATGGCAGCACCTCCCCCACCGCCGACGTACAACAGATCTTTGTAAACCCTCCATAAACAACAACCTTCTGTAAGAATTTCTCCCCCCCTTTTTTTTTTTCTTCTCTGTTTGATGATGGGTGGTTGTGGTGGTGGTGCTAATTCAGAGATGGAATTGTGTAATTTGTGTGTGTAATTTGTGCGTGTGTGTGATTGTGTGTGTGAGAGAACGATGAGAGAGATAGAGAGAGAGAAAGGGTGGTTTGAGAATTATTAAATAATATTTGGGTAGAATATTAGGTAAGGGGGTTTTCTCTAATTATTTTTTGGAGGGGGGTTTTTCTTAACTCATTTACCTAGATGAGGGGGGTATTGCTAATTATCCCTTTATCAAAACGCCATTTCACTGAAACAAACGATCAAATTCGGGAACCAAAAAGCAGAAGAGAGAGAGGGAGAATTGCAAATGCCGTTCTCTCTCTAGGTAAATTTCATCTTCATATTACAAATTGCAGTAATTCATTGCTGCAAAAATAAATAAAAAATGCATATATAATAATTTTAATTTTTTTGGGTAAAGTTTCAGGGCTTCTGTAAAAAAAAAAAAAATTCAATTGAGCAACAATTTTGGTGATATCGATGTTTTTGGTCGGTGCGGTTTTACGATACGGATCAGTTGCAGCTTGGATTTTTCAGATAATTTTCTGCATGGGGTAAGTATGTGCATTTCCGATCAGCAAAATGTAATTTTTATTTTATTTTATTTAGGGTTTGTTGATAGTGAATCTTTGAAATTGCTTGCTGTTGACATATGAAGATTCAACAATTTGTCAATTTGTTGTTATTGTTATCATAGCCTCGTGTTTCATGCTCCTTTTGTTTTCATTTGATTTGTTTTGGACTTTTGGTTAGTCACATTGATGTTTTTGTTGGTCACATTGAACAAAAACACAGCAAAACCCGAAACCGAAAAAAGAAGAGGAAAATAAATTCTAACCCGAGAAATTAGCTTCTCAATAATACGACAATTTCGTTGTTCTGTTGCAAAAATTTGAAGCTACATTGGTTTTCCACCCTTTGCTTGTCTGCAAAAAATCCGAAGGACAATTTGTGCGTGTAATTTGGATGAAATATCCGAGCAAGTGTGATGACTATGTCTTGTTTGGTTCGTTACACAGCAACTTATTAGAATACCTCTGTACTGTCTAGTCTGGTACAAGAAATGCTGATGAATTTGTCTATTCATCGACACTTTGGGTATTTAGGCTGACTAAGAGCTGATTATTCTTTATTAATTTGTCAAATACGAGGGTGAGGCTGTTTCCGATTTTTGTAGGGTATAATAAAACAAGCCACTTGTCTTAATACCTGTTCATTAGCTTGGTGATATATTAAGTGATCGTCTTGCACAAAACTTCTGTTCGTATATTTGTATTAGTATCTCTCTTTATGTAAACAACCTTTCCCGAAAGGGTACTTACAAATTTTTCGATACAATTTCCTTAAATACTGTCTCAATCAGGTCTCTAACTTCCTATCAGAGTCGTGATTATTTATGCTTGCTTTTCTGTCGTTCATTTTATAAAAAATAAATCTCCAACTTCAGTTCATTTATGATCTTTGTGAGCTAAGTTTTTTTCGAAGATTGAGATTAGTAAAGAATGAACCACTCAATTTGTTTGTTTGAAGGGTAGTATAGTCGTATATGTTGGATTGAATTGATTTTTAATGGCCCCGCATTGTCGCTTTGGAACAGAGCAGTGGTTGTCTTGGGTGCGATATTAGGCACGAACTGATTACTTCAGTTGACGAGCCATTCAAAGTGCAAAATAACCACCCTCCGAAAACTTCAAAAGCTACCTTAGCCGAAGATTTTTGGACAGCCAGCACTTGTGAGATGGACAATAGTGCAGTGAAATCATGTGAAAGCATCTCTTCAACAAGTTCGCTGACTCAGAAGCACGATTCTTGTTCTACTAAACCAACTGAATTTGTCAATCATGGTAAGTTGATCGTATGATTTGATGGATTTTCTCAAAATTTCTAAGTAAAAAAAATCAAGAATCAAGATCTATTGATTTTTTCCTTCTTTTTTCTTCGTTCCCATGCTTCTTACATTTTTGTGTATTGTGGATAAGTAAATAGAGGCTTTGGGTGTAGGTCTTATCCAATGGAACCAGAATAGAAAGAAATGGATAGGCAACAAAAAGCCTGAAAATCGGGCACAAGAGCTTCGTGAGCCCAAGTTAAGGTGAGCTAATAATTTCTTCTATTTTTTTTCCAAGATTAGATTAGTCGAGATAAGATTATATAATCTTGTGAGAACCCAATTGTATAGTTGGATTAGGGGAGGTTGAATAAACGATCCTCCAGTAAGCCAAGATTCGAGGCTCGTTCATAATTGCGGGCCAGCCCCAAAAGTTGAACTAACCAAACATCAAAATAAGGCCTAATTAAAAAAAAAAAAAATCCTGGCTTATCTTTTCAACCAAACAAAGGCTAAAGAGATGAAGAAAAGATAACCATGTTAAACGAAATATTGGTTTAGACCTTTTATATCAAATATTGATTTTGCACAGGTGTGGATTGTGGATAATGTCTGAAAGCAGTAGTCGATTAAATTCCTAATATTTTATTCCCTGCCATGTTAAATGGAATAGGCTTTTCTAAATTCTTGGTTTTAATTTTTTTATTATTATTTCTAATATATCACTTCATTCGCAATTTTGTCGGGATTAACTTAATGTTTGGAGGTTGCAGTTGGAATGCGACCTATGACAGTTTGTTGAGCAGCAACAAGCCATTTCGCAGACCTATTCCTCTTGGCGTAAATCTCTTTCCTTGCAATAGAATCTCACCGTAGATTTACACATAATCACACACACACACACACAGTGTGTGTGGAACGTGTAGTAAATACGTGCTAATATTTGAATATTGTGAATATTAAAAATTGCAGGAAATGATAGATTTTCTGGTAGATATTTGGGAGCAGGAAGGAATGTACGATTGAGGCGGAAGCATAAAACGTACAGGTGACAACAATTGTGGAATATTCTCTCCTCATGAATGTGTTAAAGAAATAATTTAATTAGTTTCTTTAAAATATTTTTGAAGAAGAGGAATGTGTTGTATAGCCTGTAATAGAACATAACTTAAAAGAATTCAAATATTATTGGCGCCATTTTTACTTTTGGCACATCATTCAGACATGTTTCTTATAGTACTCAGAATTTGTATACTTTTGCAGCGACGTCGTTTAATGATTGTTTTTTTTTTTTTTTTTTTTTTTTTTTTACTTTTTTAACTCGAAAAATTAATTTAGAATAAATATTAGGAACATAGTACACGTGGCATGAAATAACATATGAACTCTGGACTAAACATGAAAGTTCTCATGCTTAGCTTCCACCACCTCCTAGAAGGCTTGAACCCCCCTCTCTCTCTCTCTCTCTCTCTCCTCTTTCTCTCTCCTCTTTCGCCAACTTATATAAATCTTCTCTCTCTTCTTTCTTTTTCAACTACACACAATTGCAGAAAATCGTCAACAAGAAGCAGAGATTATATTATCTCCAATTAATTATATTGCTTAAAACAGTATTAATTATGGCTTTAGCTCGTTTTGCACTAAAGAATTTGCAGCAAAGGGCTTCTTTACTGCCAAGAAACGCAACTCAGATCAGTGCTCCTCAGCTTCTGCGGCGGCTCTCCTCCACGCCGGAGGAGAAGCAGCCGCATGAAGTGGCGGTGGCCGACGGTGGCAAGAAATCTAAGCTCTCTCCGAGGAGGAGAGGAAGGAGGGCCGGGCTTTGGAGGAGGAGCAACCGTGACTTCGTCCCTGCTTCCCCCTGGGGTAAGTATTTAATTACTTACCGTATATTTTTCAATTTACATAGAACCTCAATAAATTAATAACCTAGTTAAATAATAATTTATTCAAGTCCTGACTCGGTGACAACGTACTTAAATTTTAATTTGATATTTTAATATTTTACCGAATTAATAAAATTTTGTTTGTCTCGACTCTATTAATTTATAGAGGTTTAACTAGAGGTGGAAATTGGAACGAAATTTTTGAATTCCGCCAATTTCGATCTGAAATATCCAAATTTGAAACACTTTTTTCATTCTGATTTCTGATAATTTTGATATTCGATTTTTCTGATTATTTTTGGAACGGATTGGAATTACATATAAAATTATTGGAAATTCCGATTTTCGATCTGATTTTATTTCCGAAATAAAAAATTATATGTATATTATTTTTGGATTGTTTTTCTATTTATGTTTTGCAAGAACTATGCTTATTTTTTTGTTTGAAAATTTGCAAGGACTGTGTTTGCTTTGATAAACGCTTTGATAAACTGATTATGTTATTTTTACAAGTGTTTACATTTCTTTTTATTGACCTATGTTTTGGATTCTTTCTTGCCTTTTGCCAGAAAATTACGAAAATAAATTGGAATGGATTTTGTAATCTCGAATTTTTGGGGACGGAAATTGGAAACTTTTTTTATCTTCCGAAAAAAATTGGAAAATTTATGAAAGGCATTTCCGACCCATTTAGTCCGATTTACACCCCTAGGTTTAACTGTTTTTAGACTCGCGGAATATTCAAAACATCTCGTTGACTTTTTCGACATGCAGAACTCTTCCCTTCTGGGCTGGGAAACGCGCTGGTTGAGGCGACGGAGAACATAAGCAGGCTGATGGAGAATCTAACACCGTCACATGTGTTCACCGGGCGGGTGAAGGAGAACGACGGAAGCTACGAACTACGGTACCAGATGCCGGGGCTGGGGAAGGACGACGTCAAGATAACGGTGGAGGACGGGGTTCTTAACATCAGAGGGGAGCACAGGGAAGAGGCGGGGGAAGAAAGCTCCGACGGCGACGAGTTTTGGTCGGCGAAAGGATACGGGTACTACGACACGAGCGTCGTGCTGCCGGAAGATGCGAAGGTGGACGGAGTTAGGGCTGAGATGAAAGATGGGGTTCTGAATATCGTTGTGCCCAAGGCGGAGAAAGCGAATAGGGATGTTATGGAAGTTGAAGTCCAGTGAAATTGAATACCACTACTTTGTCTCTGATGGCTGATAATTTAGTGTGTGTTGTGCGAAAGATGTTAGAACTAGTTATTTACATTGCGTTGATTTGTAGTGTAGATTAGATTAAATAATTACTCACTAAGTACAGGTGTAGTATTTAATTTTCAATGTTGTGTGTGTGCTGTGTGTCTTGTGTTAACTTTTGATCGAAGGAATTAAAGTTGTAATAAAAAACCAATAAATTCACTTAATTTCTTGCAATATGCTGTTAATTAATTTATTTTAATCATTTCCAAGAATCAAATGAGTGTTTTTAGTTCTTTAAGACCCGTTTGGTCGCCAAGATAAGTTATGATGAACTAAATAGTTGGACTTAATTTGATGTTTGGTATCCTCAATAAATTGTTGGGTTTGGTATCCTCAATAAATTGTCGGGTCGATTTGTCAAAATTATATAATTATGGCTTATCTTGGCCTATTTTGCCTTCTAATGAGTTTTTTTTGGACGTTTCAAACTCCAATAAAATAGTTGGGTTTTATTAGATTATTTAATCTTATCTTAGCTAATCATATTTTATCAACTAAACGGGGCCTAAGTTTACTGGAGAGGTTCAGTCCATTATATTTTAAGATCAGCATTTTAGTTCTACAAATAAAATTTGAGATTCTTTTTTTTTTTTTTTTTTTTTTTTAATAGGAGGACAACTATTATATTAAGATTTCAAAACAAGAGTTTTAGTACTGAGAGTAATTTTACAAGCCCGATGGTACATGCTATTACGGTCATTATATAAAATGTTGTTCAGAAAGGTTGGGCAGATTTCAAAAAATAAGCGTAGTATTGTTTTTCATAGTAGTTCCAAGTTTTGAGATTTTGATCCAATAATTTTTGTAGCAGTTAATTTAATGATTGGTTGAACGAGTTGGCAGGTAGAAAAATAAATAGATTAAAATAAAATTATATAAAAATAAATAGCTTCAAAATAAAATTGATGAGACGATATTCCATTCCAATTTTCACCAGTCATAAAACAACATTTTCCCATAAAGGAGAAATTTAAAAGCAAACATTATTATGATTTTCTGTGCTCTTATGTCATTTAATAAATTTATGAAGAAAGAAATAAAAAAAGAGCATGAATATCAGACTGTAAACTGTCCTGTCCCCTTGTTGTGGATACACTACTTAGATTTTGTCTGAAAATAAACACTCATTCCTCCTCACCATCCACTATTTCCCACCATTTCTTCCACTTCAGCCCTATTCATTCACATACACACACACACACACATATATATATATATATACATACACTACTTATATATACATATATGTGTGTGCTACAATATATATAGAATTGATGGCTCTATCAAGAAAATACCAGCTATACCTCAAGCTTGCAGTCATATCTATCTGTTTCTTCTCTCTCACTTTGTTGCCTCCTAAAACAGGTATTTCTCGTGATCGAGGTCGGAATTTCGAATCTCTTTTGATGCATGTGTAATGATTTTTTTTTTTAAATTATAATAATATTGAATGCAAGGCCAAATTCATCTTTGGTTAAAGGGTTTCTTTTTCTTTTTCATTTTCAATTTTTTTTTTTTTTGCATAAGCTTGATTCTTGATAACCAAGTTTAAAAGAATAATTCTACGCTACATCAGGTGAAATTCAGGGTATTACATTATCATCGTTGATTTACACACACACACATCCATGTTGGTGTGTCTGTAAATCATAAACTCAATGTAAACTTGGAGTAGCATATATATAATATTTGATTCCCTACTAAGTTCTTGTAGGACTAAAATCAAACACTTGATCTGCATGTATAGAAATGAACGAAATTTTGCTTATAGCTTGATTTATTTGGTTATAATTAATGAATCAGATTCAGGTGGGATTAAGGAATCAACGGCTGAGAATGAGCAGACGATATTGGGATCTCGGCCACCTGGCTGTGTGAACAAATGCATGAGCTGCAGACCATGCGAGGCAACCCTAGTTATCCCAACTCACAAGATGGTAATCAGTAGTAGTAGTAGAAGTAGTACAAGAATCAAAGGCAGGGGTAGTTTTGTAAAATCATCTCGTAGAGAAGATGATGATACCTACTATCTCCTCTCTTGGAAATGCAGGTGTGGCAATAAGTACTACCATCCTTAATTAAGCTTCATGTAATTAAAACAATTGCTTATTAATATTATTAATTTGATTCTCTTTTTTAATTTTTTTTATTATTATTATTTTTTGTTTTAAAAAAATTTCCTTTTTCAATTGATTGGACATCTCTTTATTTGTTAGTTAAATAAATAGTACTTACTGTATTTATATGAAAGAAAGCTAGGTCAGAAATGAATGTACTCTCTCTCTCTCTCTCTCTCTCTCTCTCTCTCTCTCTCTCTCTCTCTCTCTCTCTCTCTCATCGTAAAATAGAACCAAAATTACATAGTGGTGTCATGTCATTGATTTGGAGCTTTTGATCATTTCAAATTGTTCCATCACATCCATGTACAATGCAACTGTTGCTATAGTATTGTGCATGCATTCAAATTATCTTGAAAAAAAATCGAGTATATATTTGATCAATTTTAGTGCAATCAATTTGGAAACTAAGGAATTGAAAGTTAGAATCAAATATATTATCCAAAATCGGAAATTCCGTTCAATTTTTTATGATGATCAAATTCATTTATTGCGATTGTGAAAAGTAAAACTTTTAATGCTTCAAACTTGGAGATCTTATTTGAAAATTTTAAAAATAAGATAAAAAATAAATCAAATTTGAAATAGAAATAATAATGCATTATATTAGCATGAATGATCTAGGAAAAGAAAGGGGAAGATAAATAAGTGATGAAATTTACATATAGAACGAATTAGAAGAACGCGATTGAAACTTATTTGGATAAATTCGAATACTAAAAAAATAAAAAAATAATGTGAAAAATATCGAAGTAGTACAATGTTTCTATTCATATTATTATCACACGGTGTTCAAACATCAGATGATTAGTGATCCGTCGGGTAAATTCCTTCTCCTTTTTTAGCAAATGTGCGATCTTAGATTGGGATTTAGATTCTGTAAAATAGAAAGTTCGGACTAATACTGAGGTTAATATTCTGACGTTCAAGTAAGTAAATGATATTGTGCTATTTAACGGAAAAATTCATGCTTCTAAGATAAGATTATTTTTCGATTTCTTATTCTAAAATACTATAGTGCACGTTTTACTGACCTGCAATGCGACTTTATTTCCTTTATAACTTTTAATAATAACCTAAATTTCCCCCCACATTATATAAAGAAAATGTCAAAAGGCCTAATGATTCTTTTTCAATACAGTTTGGATTTTCATTTGGACTTCAGGGCAAGCCCATTTCCATAGGCAATTATTGCACCAAATTAGATAATAAAAAATTCAACCAATCAAGTAATTATATTACTAGTTACTACATCAACAAGTGAGAAAAACTTGAAAATTGAGCAAAATAAAAATAAAAATAAAAATGGCGTCTTGCTCCTTCCCCTTTCCCACTACAGTAAACCACCACCACCACCACCACCACCTCGCTCCGCCGCCGAATACCAATTTTATTATGTCCAGCACAGCCAGAGAATCCAACACCTCCTGCTATTCCTTTCCGTCTACAACTAATCTCCACCGTTCATTTTCCATCAAACGCAATTCCTGGTCGGGCCGTTGCCACGCCGCCACCGGTCCGCAGTCGGAGCCTCCACCGGAGAAAAACCCGCCTCCGCCTTCAGGTACCCCTTTCCTCAAATATTTTTGCCTACGTGTTTAATTTTGTTATTACCTTTTTTATGTCACTCTTCTTTCCCGATGAATCAGCTGGGAGCCTATCAAAATTCTATTAATTTAGTGAAATATTACATTATCGAATTAATAATTTAATATGTTTTTATCGAGTTGGGACCGGAATAAAGTATTATTTAAGTGAGATTATTAGTTTTTCGAGGTTCTCATGCCATCCTAATTTCAAGAAAACCCCATTCATTCTTTACTTTCACTAGCATTTTATATCCTGTTTATGAAACTTTGTTCAAAAGTCTTGATCTTCATTTAGCATTTTTCAGTGTGTTAAGAAACCGTTTGTTTGTTTGTTTGTTCTTTATTTTTTTATTTTTTTTTTGTAATCAAGAATCATATGAGGATGATACTGTGATGGAGTATGATTAGATTGGTGGAATTGTGTTGCACTGTTTAAAAAAGTTATCTTTTAACCAGTGGCGAGTTCATGATTTGTTGAATTAAATCTTTTAAGGTTCGGGGCAGCGTCCTGAAAAAAAAATTAGGTTTTTTTCTTTTCTAATTAATTTGGATTTTGAGTGGCTAATTAATAACAATGAGGTGGACTAAATACTATTATAGGTATAAATTGAATAAATTTTAATTGGGGTGGGCTTGAGTCCACTCTGGCAAATGTCAACGATTTTTGTTCTCATGGTATCTTTTTGCCAGCTACCAAATGCAAAAATACAACCGAGTTCTCATAAAGATTGCATAAACTTATCTTGATTAGTCTACACAACTGTATTCTCGCAACATTGCAACGTAGCGCGTATATTGGAACAACCATTTAAAGTTTCGGTTTTTATTCTACAGTCGAGCTTGCAAATGGAAGATCGTAATACGTTAGCCCATTATGTTACGCGTTGAATTAATACAATTATACTGCCTTGAGTTACATATTGTCAACATTCGACAGTGGTTGCATTTTCGTTTTTGATCTCTTTCGTTTCTAGTTCGGATTTAAAAAAAGAATCGCTTATATTATTATTAGGTATAACAGCACCATTCTCCAGATTTCAAGATAGTATGCAGATTTTCCTTGCTGTTCTATTTTGGATGTCTCTTTTCTTCTGGTCTTGTGCATGGGACGGTGGAAATGGTGGCCGACCAAATAACGGATCTCGATTTAGGAAATGAATTCATTTTTTTTTTTTTTTAATTTAATTTTTTTACATGCTGTAGATAGATCTTATACAAGATAGTATATAGCAGGAAGAACAAATTTGAGATCGTAATCATCACATTATACAAATGTATTTGTTAGTAACTTCAGCCGCGTGGCTATACGTTATGTTCCTGTAAACTTTTAATCTTTCATTGTTTGTTTCGGTTCACGCGAATGTGTTGTTGAAAAGGCTATATATACATGTCTATATATGTTGGGTACTCGTTTGAACATATGCATACTATATATCGGATACATTCTATACTATTACAGAATGATCCTTCATTTGGGAAATGACATTAGGGCTTACAGATGATATTAAGAACATAAATAACAAAAGACAAGGGAAAAAACCGAGATATGTAAATCCTAATTGTTCCCAACATATGAAACTGTAATCGGTCAATATACGGTTAGAGTTTTCTATTGTCACTTTCTCGTACAGATTTGTACCCACCGACGGTGGCACCAACTGCCCAACACATAAAGCACATTTCATCGGAATCCTTTTCTCATACCATAATCACTTATATTAGGTCAACTCACTCACCAGACCCTCAAGTCACCAGATTCGAACGCACTCTCTTGTTTCCCACACTCAAAAATGGATCTCACTCTCACTCACACAAAAGAACTGCAATCTAGAACTCGAAGGAGATTCAAATTTGTATGTCTTGTCCCCTCTCTCTCTCTCTCTCTCTCTCTCTCTATGGTTCACTATATCCAAAATAGAGAGCAAAAGTAATACATCCATCGTCATAGTCAAACGGGTGTTTTGCCGGAAGATCATAAGGAAAATTCAATACGGTAGTACGGCAAGAGAAGAGAGAGAGAGCAGAAGGCCAAATTTTAGGATTAAAAACTAGGCGGAGTTGAAATACCTTGAATGAGTGGTTCAGACGAAAGAGTTGAGAGTCAACCTAATTAAAGAAGAAAGGAAAACCTAATTTGTGAGCCTGACCATGATTCCTATGAAATTATCATTGTAATAATAGACTCATAATTTTGTGCTTTGTTTGCTACTTTATTTGATTCTTGTAATATATGTTGGGCTCTTGCGAGAAAATGAGCTAACACTCCATATGGTTAGAGAAAAAAGGTTTTATTTTACCAATTATTGATCAACTTTTCTAATTATTATTCTCTTTCAAATGAATTATAAATCAAGTGTTGTCACACATTATTAACACGCAGAATTGAAATCCAGCGGCGCCGCCGTTGTTTGGGCGGACATTTATTCCCGCGGCTGAAACGCCAAAAATCCAACGGCCACAATCAACAATCATCGCAATTTATTACTTCACACGTAAAATAAAAATCCCAATTAATTTTTGACAATTCCCAATTTCAAATCCAACGGCCACCATCAATTGTCCAGTCACTATAAATTGGGGGCAACAGAAAAAAAATCCACCGCCATTGAAGTTCAACACGCGGAGATCAGTCTCCGGGAAAACATCTGTGTCATTATCAACGACGAGTATGTTGCTGAGAAGCTCGTCCGCTCCAATCCTGAATCCATGGCTACCAATTTCAGCTTCCGGGTCCGGGTCGTCGCCGGAGCCCGATACCCTGCCCCAGTTAAAGCGAACGCCGTCGCTCTGCCTGACGACGTCGTTTGAGGAATTCTCCGGCAGAATCACGCCGAAGAAACTCGTCTTCGATTCGGAATCAAAAGATCCGCTGAATTCCAGGAAGAGCTCGAAGCTTCCCGCCACCCCGAAACCCTCAAAAATAATCAGGGAGAAAAGAGGAGGGCACGATGCGGCGGTGGCGGAGATGGAGAAAATGTCGCAGACGCTGGTGGTGGGCGGCGGAGGCGGAAGTAGGGGTGGCGGAAGTGGTGGGAGAGGGTCGAGTGACGGGTCGGGTTCGGGTCAACAGGATCCGGGGAATTGGAACGGGCGCGAGATTACGGATGCTTACTATGAAACTATGATCGAATCTAATCCGGGGAATCCTCTCTTGCTTGCAAATTATGCTAAATTTTTGAAAGAGGTATAACCCTTCTCAAAACCTATTTAATTATCAACAAAATTTCAAATTAGAAATAGAATTTCCGAATTCCGCTGATTACGATCCAAACAAAACTTCCAATTTCGGAACAAGTTTCTTCATTCAAAATTTCCGATTTTTTTTTTGGAACGGAACCCCAATTAGTGTTTTACTTCTAGAAATGTTAATTCCGATCTGATATGTCCGATTTCCACTCCGATTAATAAATTATCCATTCGTTTTTCGTAGGTTAAGAGAGACTTTAGAAAAGCGGAGGAGTATTGTGGAAGGGCAATATTGGCGAACCCCAATGATGGCAATGTGTTATCACTCTATGCTGATCTAATATGGCTTACGCATAAAGATGCCGATCGAGCCGAGTCTTATTTCGATCGAGCCGTTAAAACCGACCCCGATGACTGGTCACAACTCGATTCTCTCTTTCGTGCTTTATTGATTCGATAAATAACTTCACCATTATTTCTCAACTGAAATCAGTAGCTTCGATAAAAAAGTTTGTTACGCTACTATGGTTTATTTATTTTATTTCCGCCACAATCTTTGAGTACATCTTACGCAAGAATCGAAAATTAAGATAACCGATCATGTTATGAGATATTTCTAGATATTATATGCGTGGTCGAATGAGTTTTGAGGTCAATAATTGACAAATAATATTGATTTCCTTGTACTGAATTTTATTCTATTTTATTTTTCTGATTTTTTGGTTTTTTTTTTTATCAGCATTATGTGGTTAGAACATAGAATAATGTACAATGGGCCTTGGTTTTGGTTTTATGTGAGAAAATCAAGAATCTAGTGGATGATAATAGTTGAATTTGTTTGTTTGTACTTTTGTTTATTTCATGAAACATAGTAAAATATTATTATTATTATTATTATTATTATTATTATTATTGTCGTCGCAGTTATGTGATGGCTTCATATGCTCGATTTTTGTGGGACGCGGAGGACGAAGAAGACGAAAAGGAAGAGGCCGGAAAGAATTTATATGAAGCAGAGATAAGTAATGCACCTTCCAACTTCTTCCATGATAATTCTCATTGGCCTCCTTTTGCTGCAGCTTCTTAATACATACATAAATGTATGTACGTATAGTATATGTGTAGTTATATATATGTAATTATGTATGCATGCTATTAATTAGCTTGTGTTTTTGGTGATGAGATACAGTGGAAAGAACTAATGGAAATATATATATGAACCATGGTTTTGGCCTTGTATAGCCTCTTTTTCCAGATGATTTTTTGATTTTAAAATAGGGTAAATTACGTCTATCCACATAGGAAATGTCAGATTACGAAAAAACTCTTTATGTTTGATTAATTACAACCACCATTCAACTATGAATCTTTTTGCACGTTCACTTTTGTAGTGTCAAAATTAGTTGAATCTTCTGGATTATGTGGAATCTTCTCAATTTTGTACCCCGTTTTATATCATTCGAGCTCCACGTTTTGAAACAAGATGATCATAAGATGTTCTCTTGGTTTATAAATATCAGATTGTGGTGCATCAGAAACTATTTTTCGCACAAAACAAGTACAAACTAGAGAATATTCTATGGAATTTAGAAGATTGTGTCGAATTTGACACCATAAAAGCGGACGTGTAAGAAAATTTATAGTTGAAGGAGTGATTGTAATTACTCAAACAAGAGGGGCTTTTCTTTTTCGTGATTTGACCTTAGGGTGGCCGACCCTTTATTCGTTTATTTATTTTGGTAATATGGCGAATCAAATTGTTTAACTCGACCAACCGTGATATAAAGTTTATTTTACGAAAAAAATTATCATTTTTTTCATAATTATATCCATGCAATTTGTAGATTTCTATATATTAATACCCTCTTGTATGGGTTGTGCTAAAAAATACACCCTCTTATAGTGAGTGGATGCAAAAAATTATAAACTGCAGGCTGTTGAATATAATTTTTAAAAATGAATGATTTTTTTTGTATTTAATTACATTCTACCTAATTTACCATATTTGAAATTTGGGTTTAGCCCATTTAATTATTAAATAAAATAAAGGCCCAATTTCAAAACCCAGCCCACAATTTTCAGCAACGTCACGAAACACTATGCCGACTCACCAGGCATTATCCTCCCCCCGCAAGTCCACATCCGGACCTCAAACCCCTCTCTCCAATCTAGTTAATAAACCCTGTCGGGAACGTTATCCGCTTACCTCAACTACACTCTCCCCCCACTCGTATTACAAGCGCGTGATCCCACGTTCAACAATCCAACGCTACTCAGGCACCCCGTACACGCAAACATCTTTGGAAGCGCGTCATCTGTCAAATCGGCAGCTCAGAATTAAGAAGCAGGGAGATAAATATACAGTGAAGCGGCGGATCACCACAAAATCCACGAACCCCACCTCCCAGAGGCGGACGCGTGTCCACACCTCCCTCGAGAACTTTCCTTCGAAACGAGGCAAATTAGAAACTGCTTCTCTAACGGTCTAATCCACGACCCGCTTCGGTGCCACGTGTCCCGTTCGATGATAAATCTTTCGTCCCTCCTCGGGTGGTTTTAGCAAATACCCCTTTACTCTCTCGAATCGTGGCGGTTAACTTTGGGAGCATATTCTTTAGAGAGAGAAAGAAGAGAGAGAGAGAGAAATAAAGAGGTAGCTGGAAAAAATCTACGGGCAGCCTGCTAAATTTGGTTGTACCTTTTGCTCGTTTTTTGTTGTAGATTTTTTTTGTTCCTCTTCTGGTTTGGTTCTGTAGGTGAAGAAAAATGGCTGAGACTCAGCACGCGCCCATGGACGACGTCGTTTCGGTGGAGCTCCCTGCACCTGCTTCATGGAAAAAACTGGTATTTTTTTTTCCTCTCAGTTTTTTTGAACTATTTTCTTTGTGTTTCTGATTCCCGACGCAGCTTGTGCTTTTCTTTGCTTTTTTGCTGTGATTTTGTGTGTATTTTTCTTTAAATTTCTTGTAATTTTTGTTTTTTGACTGTTGTTCTGTGAATTTCTACTGTTTATTTAACTGCTAGGGTTTGAGTTTTTTGGAAATTGGGGTTTCTATGTTTGAGAGTGAACATAGTTGTTTAGTAAAATGATTTATTTAATTTTTTTTTTTTTTTTTAGACCATTTAATTGTTAATTTTTGGTGTAGAAAGTGTCCCTTCCTTCGGTTTTACCTCGCCCACAACGCGTACACTCTGTTTGTTGTCTGTAAGAGCATGTTTGTTCCTGCGGAAGGTTTCTTTTTTCCCTGCGGAAGTTTATGCGTGTAAACTTTGATATTTATGAAGAAGTAAGCATCGATAAATATACTGCCTTTGGTCATTTTAATGTAACTAACCAGTTCCAAACTTTTTGGAGTTTTGTTAAAGAAAAGAAAAGGGGTTTGCCATGATCGATTTTCTTACCTTAAGAGGTGTTTATCATGTGCGGAGAATTGTACTTAATGTCCTTTGTTTTTGGATCCAATTGTCGACCGTTTGTTATTGAGATGGTGGATAGTGTTTTTGGTGTTGCAAATAGCAATTTGCAGGAAGATAGTGTTTTGGTGTTGCAAATAGCAATTTGCAGGTCATCTTCTTTAGCTGAATGTGCCTTAATGTCTATCTATTAATCGTCGAATAGGATAAGGTATCTTTGTTTTTAGCATGACAATGGACTCCGCCAAAGAAGTTAACAAGTGACACATTCTATAATACTGTTTCTTTTTATTTTCTTTAGTAGTAGCAAGAACACTTTCACCCTTAATTTGAAGATTCGGAACTGCATAGACAACTTTTGAAGATTCTCGTAATTGGTCCAATTTATGGTGTATTTCTTTAAATCATTAGAATGAAAGCCAAGGCTAAATAGAAACTAATTGATCGGCTGATTTATGTTGGTTGAATCATGGATTTTCAGCCTTGTTTTTTGGGTTTTTGGGTATCTATTTTATTTGATTAATCAAGAACGCAAAGCTGACGTTCTTGTTTTTGTATTAACTTATCTGCTAGCTATCTATACCAGTTAGGCAGATTATAGTGTCGTCTCGTGGGAATAATATTTATTTTATTTCTTGAAAAAATTAATGCGACTACTCATATGCAGTACTTGCCGAAAAAAGGAGGTACCCCCAGGAAAAACGAGATCTTATTTATTGCCCCCACTGGGGAGGAGATTAGCAACCGCAGACAGCTGGAACAGTACCTAAAATCCCATGCTGGAAATCCGCCCCTGTCGGAATTCGACTGGGGCACGGGTGAAACTCCAAGAAGATCGGCTAGGATCATCCAGAAAGTCAAGTCAACACCTCCGTCTAAGGAGAGTGGGCCCCCTACAAAACGTAGAAGATCTTCATCTGTGAGGAAAGACAAAGAGAGGGAAGCAGAAGCAGCGAAAGAACAAACCGACACTGAAATGAAAGATGCAGGAACTGATGAGAAGGAAGGGGAAGACAAAATGCAGGAAGATGTTCCTAATAAGGGAAGTGAACCCGAGGCTAAGATCGAAAAGAGTGATGATGTGGCAGCGGCTAAGGGAAGTGAAGCAGAGCCCAAAACTGAAGAGAATGGCCCACACGCTGATGATGTGGCGGCGGCTGCTAAGGGAAGTGAAGCAGAGCCCAAAACCGAAGAGAATAATGTCCCACACACTGATGACGTGGCGGCTAAGGAAAATGAAGCTGAGCCCAAAACCGAAGAGAATAATGGCCCACACACTGATGACGTAGCGGCTAAGGAAAATGAAGCTGAGCCGAAAATCAAAGAGAATGATGGTCCTCACGCTGATGACGTGGTGGCCAAGGAAAATGAATCTGAGCCGAAAATCGAAGAGAACGATGGTCCACACACTGATGACGTGGCGGCCAAGGAAAGTGAAGCTGAGCCGAAAATCGAAGAGAATGATGGCCCCCACACTGAAGATGTGGCGGCCAAGGAAAGTGAAGCTGAGCCCAAAATAGAAGAGAATGATGCTCACAGTGGCACTTCAACTGCTGCTGATAAAAAGGTAGAGGAGAAACCAGAGGTTGACGTGGCGAAACCAGAGGAAGATGCTGACTTGGCGAAACCTGACTCGTCAGGTGATGAAACGACAGATGGAGTACAGGCGAATGGCGGTGAAGCTAATCCGCAAGAAAAGAATACGAAAGGGGATGATGCAGCAGTGGACAACAACGGTAAGGTGAATCAAGTGCCACATCATCCTTCCCCGACTCCCGTTAGTTGTTGAATCTTGTAATGTTTCCTAGTCGAGTTAATCTAGTGCGCTATATTGGAACTACTTCGGGCCTTGTACTTTATTTAATTTTTTTTTCCTTTTCACCCTTGACAATATTTGTGAACTTTCGAAGACTTGTGTAATGTTGGTAATTAGGGTATGTGGTTAGATTTGTTTCTAGTTAGGGATTTTAATCTGACATTTGTAGCTTTTGTCTTGTGACAGTTTGAACCATCTGTTGATATGCTGTAATGTTATTCTATTATGTTTTTGTAATTTTTCTGTGTTTTGTCGGCGCTTATTTGCGGTTATTTTTTGGTCGGAACATATACAAATTACAATCAATGAAACTAGGGGTGTTCATTCAGTAAAATGTTAACTAATAGGGCGGAATTTTGGTACCATGTCATAATGTAATGTATAATATAGAATTTGAGTATTCGGTGCATACCGCGTTGCCGAAGTTTTGGAATAAAAAAAAAATACTGAACTGAAGTGCGTGCCAAAATGAATGTGCCGAGGCCGATGGTGCAGGATCGAGTGCATGCCGGATTTTCACGTGGTGTCACTGTCTTTCGGGGCATTGTCTGACAATACGGCCTTTCCGACCTGCGACCCGACCCGGTCCTATATTTCACCTTCCATAACGAAGCTCCGTCTCCTCCGGACCTTGTTTTTTTACTGTTGTTTTAGCGACAACAGTCGGCCCATTCCGTCTTTTTTGGGCCAATTAGGTCCGTCTTTGCAAACGTTAGTGCTGAGGGAAATCGGGCATTTCGGCCCAATTCCACACGAATTGGGTAATTTGACCCGTTTGACGGTCTTGGATCTTCCCGGGAACAATCTCAACGGTTCGATTCCGGTTTCCTTGGGCCGAATCACCGGTCTAAGGTCGTTGGATTTGAGCTGCAATAGATTGTCCGGGTCGATTCCTAATATTTCTTTCCCGGCATTAAATGTGCTCGACCTCAACCAAAATCATCTCATGGGTCCACTCCCAATCCCTCTTTTAAGCACTACTTCTCTCATGAAAATCGACTTGAGCCAAAACCAAATCTCGGGTCAAATTCCAAACCTAAACAATCTCGAAGACCTCGTTCTCTTCGATTTGAGTTACAACGCTCTAACGGGCCCGTTCCCTAAATCTCTCAACGGCCTAAAATCCCTCCAAGTCCTTATCCTCAACATCAATCCATTCACATCCACTATAATCCCAGATAACGCGTTCGACGGACTAAATAATCTAATGATCTTACGATTATCCAATATGAACTTGGGCGGACCCATTCCAGAGTCAATTGGCCGGCTCACAAGATTACGGTTCCTCTCAACGGCAACCAATTAAACGGCACGATCCCGTTCACTTTTTCCAACTTAAACGGATTAAGTGAGCTCAAACTCAACAACAACAAATTGACGGGGCCCGTTCCGTTTCGAAGAGAAAGGGTTTGGAGAAAGGGCAGAAAATTGAGCTTTGGTAATAACTAATAACTTAAGGCTATGCTATGATGAATTGGGCATTGTAAAAAAATTAACTCAAAAGACAAAACTCAAAGTAGACCACTTGTAAATAAAAATATTTTGGAAAATATGTAGAAGATTGTCACCAAGTTGTAGAGATTTTTAAGAACTCTCTAGGAATCACTCCATTATCTACCTACATTGAACTTGTACCTACAATATTCATTGATTTACTCTCAACTGTAAGATTAAATCAATTCCCAATATACATTGAGAGATTAAGTAATATAAATATGAGCAATATTTCATTTGTAGACCTACCAAATAAATTTATAAACGGTTAGACTAATAGCAAAACTCATACATCCGTTTCTTAAGAAAACAACAAACCCATGCGGAATCTCACGTAATAAAAAAATGAAAGGAAACTTTTACCTCCGTCAATATCATCAATCTAATTTTCTAAAAGTTTTCAAAACGCTTCATTGTGTTGCTGAGTTTGTTAGTGACTAAGTTTTACTATTTTTCTTATCAATTTTAACTCATATTCAGTAAGCTCTTGAATGCACCGTGTTTCGTCTATTTGACTTTGCAGTTAAAGTGATTATTTTCAAACTTTCCATGTCTTTACACACTAAACAAATCTAACACATTAAAATCAATGTAACACTTTAAAGTGAATGTAACACAGTTAAAGTGACATTGCTGGACCTATAGTAGTTTTAGCTAACCTTCATACATGAAAATGATATAGCGATATTAATTTATAACTGAAAACTAAATTAAATTTATAGCAAAATTAAATCGGATAAGAAAGGAAATATTATAGTTGAAAATTATTTCTCATCATCTAGATATCGTCAAATAATTCTATAAATATATTTTACACATTTATATTTTTAGTAATTTTTAATAAAATATAAAACTCCTATGATAGTTGACTCAGTCGCGAATTACAAATCATAAATTCAAGGGAAAATGTGAGATAACCCCCTACTTTTGAAGATATATTAGAGGAGATCCCTCCCTTTTTTCACTCTTTTGACTAAAACTCAAGTTTTTGATCTTAATTAGGCAGACCCCCCTAGCTTACTTGAAGTGACCCTTTTACCCTTTTAGATTGCCCTAAGCCCTCTAAAACTCTGTCGTTCACACGCCGCACACCCACAATCGTTTTCTCCCTCTCTCCTCTCTCTCGCCAGATCCAATCCAGCGTCTCACGTCTTCTCTCTTCCTGGGCAAAACACAGCTCTGCCCTTCTCTTCGTTCACTACCGTCGCTGACGCCCTCCGCCGCCTCTCTCCCTCTCTTCGTGCACCACCGTCGCCAACGCCCTCCACCGCTCTGTGCCTTCTCTTCGTCCACCGCCGTCGCCGACGCCCTCGCCGCCATCAAATCGTCGAGCAAGGACGCTTTGCCCAAGTTTCCGACTCCGATCTCTTCGTCTATTACTACAGGCCTTGCGGCTCCTATGTCCTTTCACCGGTAATTTTATTTAACCTTAAACTCCCATTTTTTTTCTATTACATGAATCGTTTTCATCTTTTGACTTTCAACTCCACTTTTGAATAAATTTGTTCGATTGTGGATGTTCCATATTTTTTTTATTTGTTTGTTTGAGTTGTTATTCGACTCTAATTCTTCGACTCAATTGATATTTGTTTCGTGTTTCATCGAGTTATTTGTATGTGTGTTTTTTAGTGGGTAATGTTGATTATTGTTTCAATAATGTTGATTACTGTTTCAATAATGTTGATTACTGTTTCAATACTGATTAATGTTGATTACCGATTAGAGTCTAATATAAAAGTGAACAATAATAAGTTGATTACCCACTCTAGCTCTAGCATAAATATGTTATAGTGATTTATCCCCACTCTTCTACCTCTATTGAAAGACACGGACTCTCAACACTTGAATTTGGTAAATACCATTGAACATGTTCTTGGAGCCTTTATGGCTTACAACAACCCAATTGTTGCTCTTTTTCGAGATTTGGGTGGTCTAAATGATATCATATCACACCTAATGCTAGACACCTCGTGTATGGTTCCGTATATTTTGAATATATATGAAGATTTAACTATAGATAATTATAGTCATATATAGTCACATGTAGTCACATGTAGTAAGATATAGTAATATATAGTGACATGTAGTAACATATGCACACGATTGTGTATTTCCTCTGCATTTGTTGGTTGTGAGTTGATTTATAATATAAATATTTAAATTGAACTTGATTTTTTGTCACAGGTTTGGTGTTTGCACAACTTATATGCACCAAGTTTTTGCCGAGAGGACATGGTGTTCTTCAATTCGAAACAACTCTTTTGCATTCGATAGATCGGAGCTGTTGTCGGGTTGAAATGTGGGATTTGAAGATATAAATCCAAATTACACTATATACGACTATACTCGTATTTACTCAAAAATAAGAAAAAGACTATACTCATATAGTTAGTCATATGTAGTTATATATAGTCACATATGGTCATATACATGTAGTCATATGTAGTTATATATAGTCACATATAGTCATATACATGTAGTCATATGTAGTTATATATAGTCACATATGGTCATATACATGTAGTCATATGTAGTTATATATAGTCACATATGTTCATATACATGTAGTCATATATAGTCACGTGTAGTAATATATAGTTATATAAAAGCTATTCGTTTTTTCTGTGTACATTGATGTTGATGATTGCGATTTTACATTTTTTTGTTGGGTACTAATTGATTTATAATATCAAGATTCAAATACTGATTTTACTTGTTGGTGTAGATGAAGTTTTTTTTTTTATATAATGGGATAAAAAGACAATACATTTTGACTACATATAACTATACATGATTGTGTTATACTATAGTCATGTGTAGTCAATTTCAATACATTAAATTATAAAAAATTTGAAAAAAAAAATTAAAATTAAAAAAAAAAAAAAAAATTTAAAAAAATTAAAAATTAAAAAAATTAAAATAATTAAAAAATAAAAAAAAATAAAAAAAAATAATGTGTAGTCAATTTCAATACATTAAATTATCAAAAATTTGAAAAAAATTTTTTTAAAAAAGATTAAAAAAAATTAAAAATTAAAAAAATTAAAAAATAAAAAATAAATAAAAAAATACAAAACAGGGTTATATATAAAAAAATAATAATAAATAAACATTTATATTTTTTTTATTAAGAAAATCTATAAAAATGGTAAATGCAGGTCCAAATACTAAATGCAGTTGGCCAATGCTGAATGCAGTCAGCAAATTACTAAATCAGCAGGGCAAATAATACACAAAAGGGCGCAATTGTACTTTTGCCTCTCCAGGGGTGTATCTCAAAGAAAGAATTTTAGGGGTGGACCTTTCCCCATATATTTTCCATATTAGGGGTGTATATCAAATGGACCCTAAATTCAAAAGGTCGATTTAGCAACCCTACTCGAAACATAATACTCTCCCAAAAGTCTTTCTCAAAACATTATAAATATTGCCATGTCAAATTTCAAATTTTAATCTTCAACGTTCAACATTTATGATTTATCCTCACTAATTAATTACTAATATATTTACCCAGTAAACAAACAAAAGTCACCCAAGGAATCGTTAAATATCGGGAAAACCAAGAAATGTTTTCTTGTCATATATATATATATATATATATATATATATGGTAGTAAAAGAGAAGAAGAGTTTTATCTTTTGATTTTTTATTTTTCTTGATCATATATATACACATAATTGTGCATAAATATAAGTAAAAGGATCTTGAAAAAGAAAATTATGGGTTTCTTCTCAATGATTTGTTGTGTTAAGGATTTGGAGCGGTATGTTTCTTTCATTATTAACTATTTCACGCCATCATTTGTTTTGATTTTAATTAGTGACAAGAAATTCAACAAGTGAAGTTTTCTATTTCCATATATATGGAGATTAATTATTATTAATATTATTATTATTATTATTATTATTATTATTATTATTATTATTATTATTATTATTATTATTATTATTATTATTATTATTATTATTATTATTATTATTATTATTATTATTATTATTATTATTATTATTACCTTCTAAAAATAATTGAGTCTTGAATTTGAACAGGAAAAAACAAGGGGAACATAATTCAAAAGTGAGGATATTTACTCTCAAGGAGTTAGAATTGGCAACCAATAATTTCAACAATGGTAACAAACTTGGAGGAGGAGAATTTAGCAGTGTTTATTGGGGTCAGCTCTCCAATGGTTCACAAGTAATTAGAAATAATACTAGCATAATAATTTAGTAATTCACTAATTAAATTATATGTTCATTCAATTTCACTCATATAATTATATATATACTTGTAAAATACAGATAGCTGTGAGAAGGTGGGAGGCAGGCCGGAATCGGAGCAACACAACGGATAGGGAGTTTGCTCTGGAAATCGAAATAATGGCGCGTGCGCACCACGAGAATCTGCTGAGCCTACGTGGATTTTGTGCTCAAGGGCAAGAGCGTTTAATCGTCTACGACTACATGATTAATCACAGCTTAGAATCACATCTTTTTCCCGGTCGTCAACAACAATCTGCCACGTGTCATCTTGACTGGACCAGGCGGATGAGTATCGCCATCGGGGCTGCTGAGGCCATTGCGTAAGTACCCTCTGCACCTCAACTTCCCAATCACTCTTCCCCGATTTCGCGAAATTGCGAAATTACCTTCTTTCCCTTTCATGATACTGTTAAATCTCTATAAATTAATACAGTCGGGACCAGTGAAATTCTATTAATTTAGCAAATTATTAAATTATTGAGTTAGTAATTTACCACGTTTTCACCGAGTCATGACCAAAAGAAAATATTATTTAATCGAGATTCTTACCGTATATATCATCACTAACACTTTTTTTTGTTTTATTCAATTAGCTATCTACACAACCATGCAACCGCACACATAATCCACAGAGATATCAAAGCCAACAATGTACTACTAGACGTCAATTTCAAGGCCCGGGTGGCCGATTTCCGATCCGCAAAGTTCTTACCTGACGGCGCAACCCACGTAGTCACCGGACTAAAGGGTAGTGTCGGCTACGTTGCGCCGGAATACGCCATGCAAGGCAAGGCCTCAAAGTGTTGCGACGTTTACAGTTTCGGCATTCTTTTGCTCGAGCTTGTTAGTGGAAAGAGGACTGCGGATTGCATGATCGAGATTTGGGCCGTTCGTTTGGCTTGTGAGAGGAAGTTCGATGAAATTGCGGATCGAGGGCTGAATGGTAATTATGTGGAAGAAGAGATGAAAAGAGTTGTGCTTGTTGGAGTTGCATGCGCAAGTATTGAACCTGAGAAGAGACCAACTATGATTGAAGTTGTTGAAATGCTCAAAGGCGACAAAGCGAAGCTACTTGTTCTCGAGAATTTGATCTGCTCTCTTTGGTTTCAAAACCGTTTCGATTTCGAAAAACAGTCGTTCGATTCGAGCTGATCAATTTTAAAGAATCAAGATCATCATACAACATAATGTATAGGACAGCAAAATTCAACGAAAATGTACAGTCGAAAGCAATCACACCACATATGCATAAATAACATGTAAAAGCAAAACCCAAACCTCCCATTTATAAACACCCCACTCACCATCTTGTGATCAAGGATAAAAAAAAAAAGATAAAAAGAAAAAAAAAATGCCGAAACGCCGAAAATGCCGAAGCCAATCCACCGCAAACACTAGCAACGAACGTTTCAAATATCACGTTCCACCACCTCCTTATCAACCGAAACAAACTCCGAGCTATCCTCGACGCTCGAATCCACAACCGAATCCCTCTTAAACAACTCGTCGTTTTCCAAAGCCGCAAGCTTCTCTTTATCCCCCTTCAACATTGCAACCACTTCAAGAATCGTCGGTCTCTTCTCGGGCCGATTATCTGCACAAACGAGCCCGACAAACACAACCCTCTTCAACTCCTCCACCACGTAACTCCCGTTCATCTTCTTATCAGCAATTTCATCGAACTTCCTCTCACGGGCCAAAGGTAGGGCCCACTCAGTTATAGTGCGTTTCATGGTGGAGCCGAGCTTCTCCAATGGCTTCCTCCCACTAGCGAGCTCGAGCAGGAGAATACCGAAGCTGTACACATCGCAGCTCTCCGATGCTTTTCCCAACATGGCGTACTCCGGTGCGAGATACCCGAGTGTGCCCTTCACTCTGGTGGTGACATGTGTCGCGCCATCGGGTATTAATTTGGCGAATCCGAAATCGGCAACTTGAGCTTTGAATTCACTGTCGAGCAACACGTTGCTGGCTTTGATGTCTCGGTGGATTATGTGTGGGGTTGCGTGGTTGTGCAGATAGCTGGAATAAGACAAATGTTACGAGGCCGATTTATATAAAATTCAACACGAACAAATCGAAAGACAGTGGACATTTCGTATATTAGTATCATTGTATAAAGGGAAAAATACAGTTTTCGTCCCACAAGTTAAACCGAATTCACATTTGGTCCCCCATGTTCACAAAAAAACAAATTTGGTCCCTCATGTCCCAAAAATTCAACATTTTTAGCCATCTTCGTCAATTTCTGTTAAAACTAACGGAATCAAACGTGTGCCCATCATTAACGTAACTGACGGACTAAGGGTAAATTGACGGAAATGACCAAAAGTGTCAAATTATTGAAACACGAGGGACCAAATGTGTTTTTTTTTGTAAACATGAGGGACCAAATGTGAAATCGTTGCAAACTCGAGGGATGGAAACTGCAAATTTCCCATTGTATAAATATTGTCTATAGCCACACGAGACATAATTAAGTTTCGATTCTTGAAATTTATCCATAGCGGTATGTTTCGATTCTTGAAATTACGGGAAAGAAAACGATAGCAAGTGGAGAGGTGCAGGGTAACTTACACAATGCCCTCAGCGGCCCCAATAGCAATGTTCATTCTCCTGCTCCAGTCGAGATGACACTCGGCCGCGTGCTGCCCGTGGAGATGAGATAGCAAGCTGAGATTATTCATGTAGTCGTATACGATAAGACGTTCTTGCCCCTCCGCGCAATACCCGCGTAGAGTCAGCAAATTCTTGTGCCGAACACGAGCAAGTATCTCCACTTCGATTGAGAACTCCATATCTGCTTTGTTGCTCCACGATTTTAGCCTCTTCACCGCTATCTGTACAAGTAAAACGAAAACATTTCATCAACTTACACTAATTTTCGATTTTTCTGAAGTAAAAAAAAAAAATCGAACTCTTGGCAACAATCCGACACGGATTAAGTGATCAACCCAACATTTCACATTGGCCTTGCTATATTTTATTTGAATTTCACTTAGTCGATTACGATTACGCTAGAAGCAGAGGAAATAAACCGAAAAAATAGCAAGATTTAAAATAAAAATTGGAATTACTTGAGAACCATCCCACGATTGACCCCAATAAACGCTGCCGAATCCACCTTCGCCGAGCTTGTTATCGTAGTTAAAATTATTCGTAGCTAATTGCAACTCCTTGAGAGAGAATATCCTCCACTCTGGATCCTTTTTCCCTTGTTTTTTCCTGTCCAAAATTCAAGATTTCAACTTTTTTTTTTTTCAAAAACTATACTTCTTGAAATTTTCTTATACTCAATATAAGTGCTTCTCAATGAAACAGTAGTTTTACCCAACATAAGTGCTTATACACACAAAATTAACCATACAGACAATCAATTAACACACACACACACACACACACACACACAGTGAGGCAAATGAGCATAGACAAATTGAAAGTAATGAAAGTATACATACCGATCTGAACCCTTAACACAACAAAACATTGAGAAGAAACCCATAATTCTCCTTTCAATCGAAACAAAACCCTCTTCTTCTGCAGAAAAAGCTACCAACTTCAAGAATTCAAAAGAGGGTTCTTCAGAAAAAAAAATAAAAAAAAAATAAAAAAAAATCAATTATTGGTTAATTATCAAACAGACCCTTGTGATGGCAGCAGATGTTTTTCCCACTAATTAAATATTTCCTAGAACAACTGCTTGCTGATTGAGACAAGGGGTGAGGTTGGCGTGGTGGGGGCGCAGAAGAAAAAGAAAACAAAGGTTTTATTATTATTATTAATTTATTAATAAATAATGAAATGCGAGACGAAGAAGAAAGCAGATTAGGCGCGTGGGTCGCTATCTGTGAGTACAGTCAGCCATGACTTTTGGGTTACAGCTTTTTTCTTTTTCTTTTTTTGAACAGTCCCAAGAATTTTTGAAATGTTCTTACCTGTTTGTTTGGGGTTTCCGTAGGGGAATAATACATTTCTTTTTCGCAATTACACTAGACTCCCTACTGCACAATTTGTTTTGTGAATCAGTCCCTATAAGGAAAATATATTGATACTTTACTCCCTACCTTTTCAGATTCCTTACACTTGGCTCCCATAAAAAAAAATTAATAAATTTTTTTTTCCAGCAAGTAAGAATGTGTCGATTGACACAGGTTCGAATCGTCTTGCTAACTGTTGTTAGGTGGAGCTTGTCACACATGATTAGCCTAGTGTGGTTTACGTATTTTTTTAGTTTTTATGTTGTTTGTAGTAATTTTTTATTTTTGTCATCACATTTAGTACTACTCTTAAAGTGAGATTGAAATACGGGCCTATTATATATGGGCCCAATATAATTTTACTTATATGTGAAAATTAAGCCCAAAATTTTCACATATAATTTTATGTATATGTGAAAATTAAGCCCAAAATTCTGGTCTCGGCCCCGCTTAAGCTTAGTTAAGTGGTTCGACCGATCTTGACCGTTTATTTTAAACAGTGAGATCTTGGTCATCCATCTTGAGCTTTATAATCTAATTCGTGAAATCCTAAAAAATAAATTCTCTTTCTCCTCCCCTCTCTTCCAAGCGACTTTCTTCAAAAGTCTTCCCTGTACATAGGGAGCATTAATTCGGTGACAATTTTGTTGTCTTTGACCGTTGCTTTGTGTGCTTCAAATACAATGGCTGATTGAAAAAAAATATCAATTATTTTCACAAGCGAAAACTACATTCCAATTCTGCCCCCATAATTTCGATTTCGAATATTAGAATGAAAAGACTTGTTCTTTTGGGTTGAAATATGCGGAATTCGAAAATAGAATTTTTCAAAGTCTTTTGGAAATTAAAATATGATCAAAACTCGGAATCTAATACGTGTATATCCCAACTCCGTTACGAAATATTTTGAAAATTTTGGAAATCGGCACTTTTGGAGTTCATAATAAAAAATATTGATCCAAAATCGAAAATATTCGGATCAAAATCATCGAAAATCCCCGATTTGCAGCGCTAGCTCTATCAAATTAACAATCATAGAATTCAAAACGTTTACGCAACAATCTCTACCTTTGTCACACGAAATCATCAAAACTCAAAGGACATAACCAGCTTCGTCGTCACCAAAGGGTGAAACTAAGGTTTCGACATACACGTTGGCTTCAACTATTCGATCAACCAAATCAACCTCAACCCTTCGCAACTCATCGTCCCGGCCATCACAAAAGACCAGGTTAGTACAAGTGGGTCCGAATACAGGCCGAAAATTCGTCGCACCGGGCCCATACGCCAACACACCGTCTCCCTTCTTCGGAGACCACAACAACGACCCAATGTACCACCTTTTCTCCTCTCGGTTAGAGAGCATATCCGAAACACCGCAGTTCAGCAAAATCGTCAAAACCCTAACCCACGACTCCTTCACGCCGTACTCTTTCATAACCCATATATGCATGTCGCAGTCGTTGTCGACGTAGCAAACCAAACCGAGGTTCCCTCCCAACACTTTCAACGAGTCCGGAAAAACACGATGACAGTGGCGCAAGCAGTCCGGCATAGCCACTAGCTCGCATCTCCCCTCGGCCAAATCAATAGATACGATATCGCAACCGTAACTACCACCTTCCTTCTCGTAGTACCTACCGCCAAGCCAGTGGAGCCTCCCGCCCACAAACCTGCCGGAATATTCCACCCATCCCTGAAAACCCATCTGAATGGTGTCGGCCTTCTTCCAAGCACCGCTCCTCAAACTGTAGATCTCCGTCTCGTACGGCCCCACTAATATTTGGTGGCGGTTCGAGTTGTAAGAACAGACAACTCTGTAATCATCTGCGGATTCATCGTACCCTAGTCCGTACAGTAGGGTTATCTTCATCGGGTCATGAAAATCACCTATTTTGCATGGATGGGGAATATTCTTCGACTTTCGCGTCGAAGGGTTCCATAAAAACATAAAACTACCTACTATAATGAGTATAAGCCCGTTACACGATCCGTGTATTTCAATCGGTTTACGCAACCGCGGCGAATCAATAATCGGGGTACTTAGCATGGGATGCTCCAACATTGCGACTCTCGAGTAAGGATTATTGTTATTATTATGTGACAAAGATGCAAGAGAACACGAGTTGATGTAGTAACGCCTCCTCGGTGGGGATTCGTCAAAGGTCAACATGAGCTTTAGCGATAATAATTGCTTGTTCAGGTGTTTCTTGACGAAGTGCGGGCTCGAGATTAAAGAACGCCATGATTTCGAAACGGACTTTAGCTTAAAGAGGGATTTTGGTGGTAAATTCGACAGTATTTCCACGATTATTTCGTCGGGGACGACGGTAGTGATTTGCATATTCTTGATTCTTCTTCGTTGTTTTTCCATGGTATTCGACATTATTCATATATATCTTATATATAAAGAAGAAACGTTAGGGCAACCTTCAGAAACCCTAATGTCATATTTATAATTTCTTTTTTTCGATTTTTATCAAATTTATCTCCTAAATATTATTTTAAATATAATTTTTGATTTTTATTAAATTTTTATTTCCTAAATATTATTTTTGATTTGTATTAGATTTTTATCTCCTAAATATTATTTTCGATTTTTATCAAATTTTTATCTCCTAAATATTATTTTAAATATTATTTTCGATTTGTATCAATTTTTTATCTTCAAAATATTATTTTAATTATTATTTTCGAATTTTATCAAATTTATATCTCCTAAATATAATTTTAAATATTATTTTCAATTTTTAGCAGATTTTTATCTCCTAAATATTATTTTAAATATTATTTTCGGTTTTTATCAAATTTTTATCTCCTAAATATTATTTTAAATATTATTTTCGAATATTATCAAATTTATATCTCCTAAATATTATTTTAAATATTGTTTTCGAGTATCTTATATATAAAAGAAAGAAACGCTAGGGCAACTCAAGAAACCCTAATGTCATATCAGTAAATTTTTTCTTATATATAAAAGAAAGAAACGTTAGGCCAACCTTAAGAAACCCTAATGTCATATTTTTAATTTTTTTTTTATTATTTTCGATTTTTATCAAATTTATCTCCTAAATATTATTTTAGATTTTTATCTCCTAAATATTATTTTTTATTTGTATCAGATTTTTATCTCCCAAATATTATATTCGATTTTTATCAAATTTTTATCTCCTAAATTATTTTAAATATTATTTTTGATTTGTATCAATTTGTTATCTCCTAAATATTATTTTAATTATTATTTTCGAATTTTATCAAATTCATATCTCCTAAATATAATGTTACATATTATTTTTGATTTTTAGCAGATTTTTATACTATTTTCGATTTTTATCTCCAAAATATTATTTTAATATTTTCGAATTTTATCAAATTTATATCTCCTAAATATTATTTTAAATATTATTTTCGAGTTTTATAAAATTTATATCTCCTAAATATTATTTTTCAATTTTTATCAAATTTTTTTCTCCTAAATATTATTTTCGATTTTGATCAATTTTTTGTCTCCTAAATATTATTTTAAATAATATGTTTTGATTTTTATCACATTTTTATCTCCTAAATATTATTTTAATTATTATTTTCGTATTTTATCAACTTTTATCTCATTAACATTATTTTAAATATTATTTTCGATTTTGATCAAATTTTTATCTCTTGAATATTAATTTAAATATTATTTTCAATTTTTATCAGATTTTTATCTCCTAAATATTATTTTTCGATTTTTTATCTAATTTTTATCTCCTAATTAATATTTATTTTGAATATTATTTTCGATTTCTATCATTTTTTTATGCACGAACCAGCCAAATCACTCATTTTTTCAGCCATAGATATCTGTAATGCACAAACAATTAAATCTCCTAAATATTATTGTATACTCAAGAAACCCTAATGTCATATCAGTAAATTTTTTCTTATATATAAAAGAAAGAAACGCTAGGCCAACCTTAAGAAACCCTAATGTCATATTTTTAATTTTTTTTTTATTATTTTAGATTTTTATCTCCTAAATATTATTTTTTATTTGTATCAGATTTTTATCTCCCAAATATTATATTCGATTTTTATCAAATTTTTATCTCCTAATTATTTTAAATATTATTTTTGATTTGTATCAATTTGTTATCTCCTAAATATTATTTTAATTATTATTTTCGAATTTTATCAAATTTATATCTCCTAAATATAATGTTACATATTATTTTCGATTTTTAGCAGATTTTTATACTATTTTCGATTTTTATCTCCAAAATATTATTTTAATATTTTCGAATTTTATCAAATTTATATCTCCTAAATATTATTTTAAATATTATTTTCGAGTTTTATAAAATTTATATCTCCTAAATATTATTTTTCAATTTTTATCAAATTTTTTTCTCCTAAATATTATTTTCGATTTTGATCAATTTTTTGTCTCCTAAATATTATTTTAACTAATATGTTTTGATTTTTATCACATTTTTATCTCCTAAATATTATTTTAATTATTATTTTCGTATTTTATCAACTTTTATCTCATTAACATTATTTTAAATATTATTTTCGATTTTGATCAAATTTTTATCTCTTGAATATTAATTTAAATATTATTTTAAATTTTTATCAGATTTTTATCTCCTAAATATTATTTTTCGATTTTTTATCTAATTTTTATCTCCTAATTAATATTTATTTTGAATATTATTTTCGATTTCTATCATTTTTTTATGCACGAACCAGCCAAATCACTCATTTTTTCAGCCATAGATATCTGTAATGCACAAACAATTAAATCTCCTAAATATTATTGTATCTCCTAATTTTCAGCCATAAACATGTGAACACTAAATATTATTTTTTGATGATAAAATACTAATTATCGTTTTCCCAAAGATGGACGATTCCCAAAGACTTCCCTTAAGACTCTTAACACTTTCAACTTCTCTCTTCCACTTCAACACGTTTGTGTTTGCTCTTCTTATTTATATCCACCTCTGCAACATTTGAATTTGCAACATTTGAATTTTATGTCTTCATCCTACCTAAGGCTTGTTCTTTTGGTAACCCGACTTCAGAATTTTTGTCTTATTTTCTTCTTCATCCTATTGGCTGTGTGGTAATTAGTTTGCATTTTTTTCCATCATGGCTTATAGGTAATTTCATTTTGTTAAATTATGTGTTACATTAATTTATACGAAAGATTTCAAATTTTGTGTATAACAATTATTTTCTTTTAGATGTTATTGGACATGTTATATATAGAAAGGGGTGATTGGAGAGAACTAAGCAAAAATGGGCAGAGCTACAAGCTACTGGAAGTCGGCCTTCAAGACATATTGTTTGTATGGATATTTAATTTATCGTTTATATTTATTTTTAATTTGTTTCTTAATTTTCCAATATAATTGTTAATTCCAGTGACAAAACAGGACCAAAACGAGGCAGTGAAGAATGGCTTAATTACGATGCAAGATGTATAGATGGCCTTTTACGTTGGTATATTGTCGATAGTTTAGTTTTGATTAGGTTAAGTAAGTTATTAAATCTAATTACTTTAAACTCAACGTGAAAGACATAGTTGATGATTTTGTTTTTGGTTCAATTTTTCAATCTAACAGTAAAGTTATTTGTTTTTTTTTTTGTTGTGTAGTATACTTAGTAATGTTCCACTGATGAATTATTAATGAATGATTATAGCAATATTTTGATCATACGATACATCAAACGTTTGTTTATATCCTTACAACATCAAAACAATGTAATTTGTTGCCCCGTGCATCGCACGGGGACAATTACTAGTATATATTCTTTGTATATGTCATATATAAATACACTTATGTATATATAGAGAGATAGATATATACCTAAAGGTAAGATAGAACCGATTTTAACCTAACAAAATATCGAGAAGAATTCGACTACGTAGTTTAGATACGCATGGAAATAATAAAAACTCAATCTACAATCAAATATAGATCTCCTTGGGGTTTGGAGTTTGGAGTTTTGCGGTCTAGTATTTTTGTGTTATATTACATAGGCGAATGACAAATAGGTCCACAACAATGAACTTAAATGCACATAAGTTCACATAAAAAATAGTCATGCAAATATATTTAATCCATGCTTTTTATTTATAATACCCTCTATAATGTATTTTTTATCAATTTCATCCATTACACTTCAACTTCAACAATATTACATATTGACCTCTCATTTTAAATATATCACGTTAACTCGATTTTCATAATTTTTCAAAAATAATTTTTTTTCTGAATATTTTTTTCCCGGCCAAATTCCGGCGTTAATATTTTTTGAGATAGTAATATTGAATACCAAAACAGTAATATTACTGCCACCCAAACAGTAATATTATGAATATTACTTTCCCGGTACAACAATATTACAAAACTGTAGGGCAAGATGATAAAATTAATTAATACAATAAAATTATTGTCTTAGACAGTTAAATATTTAACTGTCTCCGGTAGTTAAAATACCGTCGGAGACAGTAATATAGCAGGCCAAGACAACAATATTAATTAAAATATTTTTTAAGGAAAAACATATTTTCAGAAAATAAAAATAAAAAATAAAAAGTTAAAACCAGAGACCTGCTGGAAAAAAAATATCCAAAAAAAAAAAGTCAATGCTGGAGACGGTTGACCGGCGGTCGCGGTCAAAATTAGTTAATTGGTGAAATTGGATGTAAATCATGAAATTGGAATCAAATTAGGGTTACATCGAATTGAGGGCAATTTTAGTATATATAAAAGATTTTTTCTTATTTGCAAATAAGTTTGAATAAACCGTATTTATTTGGAAAACAAAAAAGTTGCATATTCTTTTTTTAATTAAGTACTCTTGTCATGGATATATTTGCCATTTGTACATATTCAATTGTATTACTAATTAAAAAACTCTTTACCCATAAACCTATTATAATTAGGGTTTTTTGTGGATAGGTCCCTACCCAAACATATTTATTATTCTAGGTTTAGGGGCTATATCTCTTTCACGAATAAGTTCATCTCTTTAATATTTATTATAAATAAAGCCACAAAAATCTAATTTTGACTTTTCTTTTCAAAAAGTTTTTTTTTTCAATTTTTTTTTTTGCCTCCGGATTCCGGCGTTAGACTTTTTTTTTTTTTTTTTTTTGGTTTTTTGTTCTGGTCTGTTTTTGTTTTATTTCCACCGCCTGTCTGCGGCGTTGACTTTTTTTAGTGTTTTTTTTTTGTTTTTTACGTCCGCTGCTAAATGTTGACCGTAATTGTGCTGTCACTGACAGTAAATTAACGTAAATATACTGTCAATGACAGTACATTAACGTAATTGTACTGCCGTTGACAATATATTAATATAATTGTTCTGTTTGACAGTAAATTAACGTAATATCATTATTTATTTATTTTTGTTACTTTTTTTTTATTTTGATATGTTGACAAGTCAATGTAATTATATTACTGTCGTTGACAATAAAATAATTGTAAACACAATAATATTACTGTCAACCACATCAATATTATTATTTTTTTTGGGGTTTTGTTTTGTTTGAGTTATTCAAGCAGTAACGTCATAATATTACTGTCTATTATTGTAATATTACTGTAAACACAATAATATTGCAGTGGTTGACGGTAATATTACTGTTGTTATAGTAATATTGTTGTCAACCACATCAATATTATTATTTTGTTTGTATTTTTTTTGTTTGTTTGAGTTATTCATGGAGTAACGTGATAATATTATTATCTATTATTATAATATTACTGTGGTTGACGGTAATATTATTGTTGTTATAGTAATATTACTGTCACTCACAGTAATATTAATTCTTTTGGTTTTTTATTATGTTTACATTTGTTGAACTGTCAACGTAGTAATATTACTCTGTTGCACAATAATAATGAGTTTTGTTGTGTTAATATTACTACGCTAGAGATTAATATAGTAATATTACTGTGTTAAACTGTAGTATAGTTAATTTTACTGTGTTTAACAATAATATAGTTAATATTACTGTCAATCACAGCAATATTGTTGTTTAAACGAAGAAAAAAATGTTACAGAAAGAAGGAAAGAAAATAAATAAATAAATAAAATAAAAGTCAACGATGAAGATCGACGGTCAATTGCGGTGACGGACGAAATTGTCCATAAAAATGTGTTTTTGGTCAAAATTGAATAATTTGTGAAATTTGGGTCAAATTGAGGTTAAATTAAATTAAAGGATAAAATTGGAGCATATTAAAGTATGAGGGGTTATTTTAGTCTTTTACAAAATTTTGGACCATGTGTGGACTTTTTTTGTAAGGGAGTTTATTGTCTGGATCTCTTTATGAATAAGTACCCATTGATGGGCTTATTTGTAAAGACCCCTTATAATTACCTATTATAATTATTTAAGCGTAAAATATACTTTACCCCTTGTACTATACTCTATACTTAATACTTACCCCTCGTACTATGAAATATGCACTTACCCCCCTCACTTTATTGTTCAGCATACTTGATTCTTAACTGTGTTAGTTCTAAACTAAATTTAATACATTGTTAAATAATCCTTAATAAATAACACATCATTTCATTTAGAAAATAAACATTTAAGATGGTATTTGTTTTTGAAGTATTGGATTAAAAATTAGTCACTCGTTAAATGTTTAAACTAAAAACTAATTTTGGACGGTATAAATATTAATATATTGGATGAAATTATTTAATTCATCGAACGTGTGAATTGAAAATTAATATTTATTTGTAGCATCATATTCCGTACAATTAATCATAAATGAAAAAAAAAATTAAATGAAATTTGATATTACAAATAAATACAATTAAACATTAACATATATCGTTTAAAAAATATTATCGTAGAATTACAAATTTAAATATGAATATTTAATGAGTAAATTAATCACTATTTGAAAAAATATACATGTCAAATAATTATTTAATGTGGTTATTCTACATACCTTCTAGCCACCAAATGAACTAACGATAAACTCAAGCTCAAATCATCCTTTGACATACTCCCTGGAAAAGTGAAAGTACTACACTACCTTTATATGAAATTTTCGGTCAAACTGCATTCAGCATTTCTAGTCCTGCATTTATCATTTTCGCTGATTTATTTATTATTATTTTTAAATAATAAACTTGTTTGTTAAATTAATATATATATATATATATATTATTTTTTATTTTTTTTTATTTTCAAATCAATATGTTTACTGTACTGAAAATAACTACATGTAACTATAGTACCTATAGTAATTCGTAGTTTAGTTCGTTTTTTTTATCCCGTAGTTTTAGTCGATCAATTGTATACACACACGAATATTGACTTATACAAAAGAAATTCATAAACCCCAACAAAAATCTACAAATTTCAATATATTTATTATAAATCACCTCAGAACCAATAAAATACAAATCGAAAATACACAAATATATGCATAAAATTGTTATCATGGTAATCTCCACGAAATTCATAACTGATATCCGGGAATTACCCGTTGAATATTGTTCTTTACCTGTACATATTGATTGTATTATTTTTCCAAGTTCAATTTCGAGTTGAACACCTATATTGTGATTATTATTTTATTCGTCTTGTTTTCCCTTGTAGTGCATTAATGGACGATTATGTTGATGGCTCTTAGGAGTAGAAGTTATTTAGAGATTTTAGAGAGTTTAATCTAGTGTTGTGTTTAAAAATGATTGTAATTCGAAAACTATGAATACGAAATTAGTTGTGGCATTTGGTTGTCACATGTATTTGATTTAATTTTTGAAAAATTAAGTGAGCGACATTGTATGACATTGTATTTATCGGAAGTCATTGTTGTAAAGGAAAAAAAAAATTACAGTGCATTTCTATAGTAGGCTTCATCACTATTTTGAAATCATTGGGCGTTACACAACCCAATGATTTCCTTTTAAATGTTCACATAAATGGAACCATCCGTCATCCCCAATGCCAATTGTGCCTTTTCGGGGTGCACCGCAATAACTGCGGGGTACACCCTTGTGCTTGAACTGCTTGAACTGGAAATGGACCAAAAAAATACATATATTATTTTCAGTACACAACATATACTTCCATGTATTTCTTTTTTTATAGCATACGTTTGGAAATTTGTTTTTACCTGATATTATCAATTTGGTACGCCGAAGAAGCAATGTTGCAATGTAGAACAAGATAAGCAGACGTGTATATGCACACGCTTCCATCTTTGAAGCATGCGTATATGAAATTTCCATCTGCTGAAAATGTTGCATCCGTCATTGGAGCAACGGCAAACTCCATGGTATCGCGCTGCGAGTATAAGCGTGTAAGAAAATGATACAAAACACTGAATCTTATTATAATATGCCGTAGAAAATATCGGATTACCTTATGCAATTCCTTCAAGTTTTTCGCTGCATAGACTGCAAGTTGCCTTGGATGAACAACGAGGAACTGAAGTTGGTCAACGTAAAAATGAAGACTTGTATCATCGTGAGGTACATGCAAACATCTCGAATCTTTCTTCATCCAGTCCTTGCTTCCCCACACGCAGAGCTGGAGAGTTGATAAAACAAATTTATCGTACACTAGAGAGCCACTTATCAATTGGTTGGGAAAACTATACTGTATATTATAAAGTCGAGTTATATTACTAACATTTCTAGGATAATCAAATATTAATTGATATTTGGAGTACAGAAAACTGAACAAAAAAACGCAAGGAGTTCTTGTTACAACTATAAATACACAACATGATGGGAATAGGGGTGTAAATGAACCGAGTGGTGTTTTAATAAGCAATCGAGTCAAGCTCGGTCCGAGCTTCATAGCTTATCAAACAAAAATATATGTTCAAACATGGTTCGTTAAATTAATAAACTTTAAATGAACAATCTTGAATCGAGGGTCGAGTAGTTTGAATTAACTTTCAACCTTAAATGCGAACAACAATAATAAGTAACTACTTTAGTTACTAAAGTACCCTTAGTAGTTACTAAGTAAAGAACACTACATACCTTTACAAGGTAAACAAGAACATAATATCAAAACACAGACAATATTTGTCTACAACTCAGTTTCAACAGAAGACAAATTTTAGTTGATTGCTACCTGAGAATCTTTGCCGGAAGATACCAGCACATCTAACAGATTTGAAAAAGCAAGGCCGCTGACTCTCTCTGTATGCCCGCCTTCGAGAATTTCATTCAGCTGCATGGAATCAGTAAAGATTATCAAAACAATAATTAGCAGCATTCCCAACTTTTAGGAAATACAATGAGTTATGATACCACAAAGTTCTCGAATATAAAAATTGTCGAATCGTCCATCCCGACAGCTATTATGTCATTGTTCATGGGATGGATTGCTAAAACTGTTGGTGCTGGATGCGGCTTGTAAATATGTTCCCCTCTCTACAGTTATCCACAAAAATGATACATATTAATATGCATGTCAGATGCTCAAGGGAAGAACAATATCGGTTTGCATTTTTAATTTATACCTTGTAAGTGTTGGTGTCAAATGGCGACAGACCTGCTCCTGGTGCCATCGATATTAAGGTAGACTCGTCTGCGTATAACGCAAAGCAAGATCCACCAGGTTCTGATATTTCATCTGTGTTTTGATGGGCCATCTTCCGCCCTACAAATGGCTCCCATAATGCAGGGGGGAGTCTAGGTGGAAATTCTGCTCTTGCCTGACATAGATTTGCATGTTAACGTGTTAAGTTAAGCCTTGAATCAATCACATTACTAAATTTTATAAAGAATTACTTACATCGTTTTCCCATCTCCACACATAGTGGACTCCACTTAGTGTCATCGCCAATAAGCAATAGTTGCATTTCATGTATTTTAGACACGATATTTTAACAGCCTTTTATCAGAAAATAATATCAGTTCTTGTTATACCCAAAAAAAAAAAAAAAAAAAAACAGCAAATAAAAAACTAACCCCCATCATTGTGTTTTCGATCATCATGCTGTTTACTTCTTCGGCTTTGCTAATTTTTTTATAGATTTCAGAATCTCGCTCAAGGAAGCTCTGGAACTCCTCGTATTCCGTCCGACCGATGTCATATAGTAAAGTTTTCACTTCCGGATTCTCCCTAGGTTTGCATGAAGACCAAACCTGCCAACTTACTGCGTGAGACATCAACACATGCAACCTTGCATGGTCTACTTTGGGATACTCGGGATCGCTACCCGTTATATTTGTCACCTCCTCCTCAAACCTGTACACGATATAACAACTTTAATTTATAACTAAAACTGCATTAAGACATAATACAAAGCTTACGTCTTAGCTGCTTTCGATTTTTTCTCTCGTAGGTACTTTAGTACTAATATTCGCAAATCTCTGTCTATTACTTGGTCCATTTTTTGATCTGAAATTCCTGAAAAGATACATGATTCAATAGAATAAAAGATTAAATTAAAGTGGAAATCCTGGTAAAGCTCAAGAAAAGGAAAAAAATAACGTTGATCATACTGTATCTGGATTATCTTCTCGAGTAAGTGATTGATCACAAGATGAATTTCTGGTGGTTATCGGTCAGCTCACTGCGTTTCTTGCACTAGAAGCCCTGCATATGGATTTATCGAACGTATCAGTTCAACACAAACAGCAAATAAGAAAATATGAGAAAGATCGAAATGAAAGAAAATATAATTTATGTATCAAAATATTGATCAATCGAGCAGCAAGAAAAGAACTAACGAAGACAAATAAATCGTCAAGAACTTAATGAAATGTGCAGCGGGAATAAACACTACCGAGATCGTGAAAGAAATCAGTTCTCCACTCGATAAAAACTTGAGAAAACATGGAAAAGATCTCTAATTGATCGATCAAAGCGAGTAGTACAGTAAATGAGTAAACTAAAGTGGAAACCGTGGTGTCGAATGAGAGGCTGAAAACATACATGATTGAACATGATTCAAATCGCAGCAAATTAAAGCTCAAGAAAAAAGAAGAAAAAAAAAAACGTTGATCATACTGTATGTGGATAATCTTCAACATGAAAAGCAAACAAAGAATCACTAACGCTGATAATTGAATATTGAGATTTCAAAACACAGAACAATAACTCTCTATCAAATATGTTTGAACAAAATAATCTAATAATATAATAATAACAATAGAAGATTTAACCCTAATCAGTATCATTGGAAACTGCATGATAAACCTTGTCAAAAGCATTCACCAGAAATCACACAAGACATTCAAAATCATGCAATCTACTTCAGAGATTGGAAGAACTCACTGAGTCGCCCCCTTGAGCTGAGTCAATCCCGAATTTCACAATTACTTCAGAGAGACGAGGGTTTCACAAAAAATGGAAGAAGAGAGGGAAAATGGTTTGTATATATAGTACGTAACCGTCGATTCCAGCAGTTGGTGCGTAACGAATTCTGTTGCTTCGAAATTTCCCCCAATATTTTTTTTCTTTTTTTTTTTTTTCTAATGTGCAGAGCAGAGCGACGGTTGGTTCTCCGATTCATTACCATCGTCGATTTGCGGAGGAGGCTTACCAGCCGTACGATCGTTTCCGAGGTCTCTCCTTTCACTTCACAATCGTGGTGGCTTCAAAAACCCCTCTCCAGTTCGGCAACTCTGTTTTGCTGGTGCTCTTCAGAGTATTTGCAAATATCTATTTTTTTATTTTATTTTTATTTTTTTATTAACAAAATAGGTAAATTCCAAACGCCCCTGAGGTATGGTCAAATTACGAAAACCCCCTCTTGTTTGGGTAATTACAACCACCCCTCAACTATAAATCATTTTACACGTCCACCCTTGCGGTTTCAAATTTAGTGGAATCTTCGAGATTATCTGGAATATTATCACTTTTGTACCCGTTCTTTCCCATTCGAACTCTATATTTTGAAGCAAGATGACTGTAATATGTGTATTTTTGGCTTGTATATATCCGATTGTGGTGCATCAGAAACTGTAATTTTTACACAAAACGAGTACAAACTATAGCACATTCTACAAAATTTAGATGATTATGTTGAACTTAACGCCATAAGGGATTAAGGGTGGAGGTGTAAGAAAAAATCATAATTGAGAGGGGTAAATATAATTATCCAAACAAGAGGGGATTTTTCCTAATTGACCATACCACAAGGGGTGTTTGTAATTTACCCTTAACAAAATAATCAAAAGTAATGCGATAACCTCCGGTTGTTTGAGTTGCCTCTAATCTTATATATCTTATATATAAAAGAAAGGAACGCTAAGTAACCCTAAGAAACCCTAATGTCATTTTTGTAATTATGTATTTTTAAATATATTTTAAATCGTAAAGATATAAATTCGATTTGTTAAATATTAACCAATTAAACTGTTTAGATTATAAATCTTACTACATAAAATTTAAAAAACTAATATTATATAAAATATGAATAGCATTATATTCTTAAATTTTACTATGTTAATGTATTATATTTTTTTTATTATGTATTAAATTGATCAAAAAAAATTACTTTTAAAATACGATCTCGTGCACAGGGAAAAATGCTAGTATTTATAATATGTGCTAACAAACAAAAAAATTGAATTCTACCCGAAAAACTAAGAAAGAATGATCTGGACGAAGAGGTCAACGGTCAACTTTGTTGACGTGGCAGGTGACAGCAGCCAGGCCAGGAGAAGAAGCACTGACGTGACAAATGACAAAGCAAGAATAAGCTGACTGGGCGATATCTGGATGACGTCACAATGGCAAAATAGCCCGGATCTATATATATATATATATATATAACAAATAATTAATAACAAATAATTAATAACAAATAATTAATGCCCTTTTCGTTTTTTTTTTTTTTACAATAGTCACTAATTACAAAATTGTTGGTCACAACAAACATGAAATAAACAAGAAAACAGCAGCCATCCAAACAATTTGTCTGCAAATTGTAATCCTTTTTGCAAGTGAATAGTCTGATTTTGTACTTGCTTTTAGCACATGATCATCATCATCTAGTGTAGTAATGTGTTGAACTGAGTTTGTAGGCACATTTTTGGGTGAGTCACAATGCCCAATTCCAGCACTAGACAATGTGTCCAAATCATCCCCAAGCCCACTTTTTGCATCATAACATAGCCCTATATTGTTACCAAGGCTCAATTTTCTCCCCATTCTCCAAACCCTTTCTCTTCGAAACGGGACGGGCCCCGTCAATCTGTTGTTGTCGAGTTTGAGCTCACTTAAACCGTTTAAGTTTGAAAAACTCGACGGTATTGTGCCGTTTAGTTGGTTGCCGTTGAGATGGAGAATCCGTAATCTTGTGAGCCGGCCCATTGACTCCGGAATAGGCCCGCCCAAGTTCATATTCGATAATCCTAAGATCATTAGATTGTTTAATCCTTCGAAAGCATTATCCGGGATTACGGTGGATACGAATGGATTGCCGTTGAGGATAAGGGCTTGGAGGGATTTTAGGCCGTTGAGAGAATTAGGAAAGGGGCCCGCTAGTGCATTGTAACTCAAATCGAAGAGAACGAGGTCTTCGAGATTTTTTATGTTTGGGATTTGACCCGAGATTCGATTCCGGCTCAAGTCGATTTTCATGAGAGAAGTAGTGCTTAAAAGAGGGATTGGGAGTGGGCCCATGAGATGGTTTTGGTTGAGGTCTAGCACGTTTAATGATGGGAAAGAAATATTAGGAATCGAACCGGACAATCTATTGCAGCTCAAATCCAATGACCTTAGACCGGTGATTCGGCCCAAGGAAACGGGAATCGAACCGTTGAGATTGTTCCTGTGAAGATCAAGGACCGTCAAACGGGTCAAATTGCCTAATTCATGTGGAATTAGGCCAAAATGCCCGTTTTCTCTTAGCACTAACGTCTGCAGAGAGGGGCCCAATTGGCCCAAAAAAGACGGAATGGGCCTACTGTTATCGCTGAAACAACGGTAAAAAAACAAGGTCCGGAGGTGACGGAGCTTCGTTATGGAAGGTGAAATGTAGGACCGGGTCGGGTCGCAGGTCGGAAAGGCCGTATCGTCAGACAATGCCCCGAAAGACAGCGACACCACATGAAAGACGTTGTCTTTATCCGGCATGCACTCGATCCCGTGCCAACGGCCCCGGCACACGTCTGGGATATCAGTAGCCCAGACGTTGCCGGTGGCTCTCATAATATCGTAAACCGCTTCTTGCTCACCAGCATCGGTGCGGGCCCCGTTGCTGGATGCCGACAGTCCAGGCTGGGGCCCGTCTTGGAGGCTCGAGGGCCCACCTGAATCCGACATGATTACGGTGAACGAGAAGCACAGTTGAGTGTTTAGCAGTAGTAAGATGAGCATAAGAAGGAAGTTCATTGTTTTCTTCTTTTTTGGGTAGAAATTGTGGAAGGATAAGTTGGGTATAAGGGGGTGTTGGTTTAGGAATGTATATATAGGTAAGGTATTTGAGACGAGATTTATTGTGGGGGGGGAGTTGGTGAATACATTCAAGTAGGCTAATTATGGAGTCACGAGCATTGAGAGGAGTTTGAATAATAAATGTTAGAATTTCAGCATTTATGTCAATCACGGAATTTATCATCCTTCAAGGCTCTCATTTTTTCAATTTTGCAATGTCGCAATCTTGTAATTTATTTAGGGATGTTTATCGGTTTGGTAAATATTAAATGTTACAATAATTTATATTTGCAAATAAAAATAATTAAGTCCTCTAAAAAATATTACATTAATGAATTAATATATAAAATTATGAATTAAGGTTAGAACTTGGCCAAATGTCAAAAAAATCTGTATATTCAATTTCTTGACCGAAGTGGGTGTGTGTTTCTCAAGAAGATATAGAATTTCTTCCGGTGGATTAAAACTAAGATTTCGAACCGACAATAATAGTTCCATCATGTAATTAATTGGAAATCATAGTTCCATCCTGTCAAAAGCAAAACCTAGTTCGAAACGACTCCACTTGCTAAAACTAATCAATAAACTTCTAATATAGGACGCAGTCACCAGATATCGCAGAACAGAACTGTAAACATAACCTGACAAGAAAGTCCAATAACGGACAACACTTTTAGCTACGGTATATTTCAAAACGATGCTACAGATTCAACCTTAGTTTTCACAAGTAGCCGATAAGCGATGTTGAGCGCTTCACATCCTTCGGTACAACAAGACACATCTCATCCGAATACACGTATTTACAAAAGACAGAGTCGAGAAAATTGCTTTCTTAAAATGGTTTGTTGTAACAAAATCAAAAAGACACAGACGAATATCTGAAACAGATTAGGTGAAGGTATCTTCCCTATCACCCTCGGCAGTGTCACCTTCCTCCAAGTTACTGAATTCCAAGAAATGCGTTGGCCGATGGTCCTCGTGATAGTACTCCCGTGGAGTCCCCAGTTTCACACCATACCTCATGCCAGGAGTATGTTTCACACCCATGAAATTGTAGTTCCAAGGACCATTATCAGGAATCTGAAAAAGATTACCAAAATATGAGAATATCACATGCAAAAAATATATATATTTTATTATATGCAACGGCACGAATAGAATGTTGAAACAAAAACATTACCATATAGAACCCAAGAAAACGGTCACTCAAGAGCATTTGAACTTTCTCGTAGTAAGTTGGGAGGTAACCATGCGGATTACTTGCAGCATCGGTGTTGCTCTTGCCCCATTCGTATCCAGATGGGGTCAACTTATATGCTGTCAAAGAACAAGAACCGGGAGTGAAACTGCACGTCAGAATTATGCATTTCTCTCCATCCCATTGTTTGTTGTTAAATAGGACCTTAGCATGAGCAGCAAGATCCTACATTTGAAAATTTGTCACAAAAAAGTTAATAAATAGAGTTGATTAAAAAATCACACGAAATGAATGGAAGGGGTTTAAGTATTATTTAAACCTGTGGTGATAGCTGAGGAAGTTCATTTGGCTGAGTATGCATCCATCCTAGAGGCTCCAAGTCATTCAAGAAATCATGTTCGGGTAGTGCTGATGGAAGATTAACCTGCTGGTGAGTACCCCACTGAGGTGGCATGGCGATACAGCGGATCTCCTTCACCTGTGGATTGTCTGGTGGACTTACACCGTAAAGGTAACCTGCAATCTGAGTGCGCAGGTCCGCTATGCATATGAACTTCTTCAAGACATTTTTGGGCATGATATAAGTATATCCCGTTTCCTGCAAGAAGAATTAGCCCGCGAAAATTATTAGGAAAATTGTTTTTTTAGAGAGCTGTGAGCATAAAGAAAGACAATTTTGTTGAAGGATAAAGGAAGTACCTTAATGTCTTCCGAGTTCACGTATATGTGATTGACACGAAGATGGAGATTGGTGGCAGATATAGCTCTTACACGCCAGTCAGTTTTCGACCCGAATGCTGCTTGTTCGTAAGGACTCGTAGTGGTCACAATCAATTCTTCTCCGTGCACATTTGTGGTCTTTGTGGTGACTGCTGTGAGTTGACTAGCCTCCTTCGCCTATAGGAAGCGCATATAAGTCCAGATTATTCAAAACTTGATAAAGCATGTAAACAACTGGGAGTAGTTTAATGACAAGGGGAAAGGGAAAATTACCTGTTTCTCTATCTCAGCAATTTGTTGCCGCTGTTGGGAAGGCGGGGTAATCTCAGCTCCAAGAATTATATCACGCATCTCAGACTGGGTTAAAGCAGATGTGTTCACATTGTTCTTCTTCGCATAGTCAGACAGTATCAAATCTCTGAGAGCAACTTCGACCTGCAAGTAAAAGAGAAGAAAGTACATGAGAAATGATACTACTTAGTAAAAAAAAATTAACACATGACATGGAAATCTTGTGTACAAGATGTATCGGTGTTCATCAATCTCACCTTAACCCACTGATCCTCGGACAAAGAAGGCCAGATGTGGTGGGGCTCGGTAACAATCGTCTTGTCAGGCTTTAGCAACATCTTTGCCTTCTCATTGTTGACATGAAGTGCTCGCAAAATCAATATCAGCCTAGAGAAAGCTGTGTACGATGAGATAGTCTTCAACCAATCATCGTATATATTGAACAAGACCATTTGTGGTTCTGTTGCCTTCAATATTAGATCACCAAATTTCTCAATCTTCAAGCAAGCCTGGAATGGCAATTGTAGCTCACTTCCTTTGATCACGATATTTGGGAAATCGAGCAAGTGCACCTCTAGGGGATCCAACATGCCCTTTCGTGTCACAATGATTTGCTTCGGCTGTTCCTCAACAGGCAATGACCGGACCAGAGCAGCCACTTCTTCAGCAGTTTTCCACTTGGCCAGCTGACCAAGACGTTTTTGCCCGGCCCATACACTTGTGTGAATAACCTGTAAAATTCACAGATAGCAAAATTATTTTTATGCAGATACCTAATTATAAAGAAGGTAACAAAGTCAGCAGGTAACGGGATAAAAACCTTTAGAAACAGTTGACCAGTTCTTGGATTGAATATGAAAATGGCACCATTAATAGGTTTGGTTGTGAGATTTCCTTCAAATGTCTTGTGTATTGTGACTCGATACACATTTGTGTCATCCACAAACCAGATGATCTGGTTGCTGAATATCTCCCCATAGTTCTGAGATGATAAATATGGCTCTGTGGGTTCAGAAGAATACAGCTGTAGCCCTTTCCTTATCCGTTCTCTTAGAACATATAACGCAGGATTTGACTGCAAGCAATAGGAAAAAAAATATTAGCCACGTTTTCATTTACATCAAGAAGAATTCAGATAGTGCATCGTAAAATAATTAGAAAGAAGTTTCACCTTCATGATTTTGTTCATGGCCTGTGCAAGCAATGGCTTTGACCCAGGGAACCAATTTCCAAATGCAGAATGCAAATTATAAGCCAGATCAAGTCCAATCATAACCCCTGCAAACATCATTTAGGTTATTTAATTTAATTTCAGGTCATTCAATATGGGCTGAAAGCATTAATTAGAGAAAGATCATAAACCATGAACCAACATACCAGTTGGTGATGGATAGATTGACATGTTGTCTGTTGTGTAATCCATAAACTTTGCCCTTGTGTATCTCTCAATATCATGGGAATCATAATCACCCCAGCGAAGTTGCACATCTATCCAGTATTTGTTACTAGCCTTCTGGTCAAACACGTCCTTCGACTCAGCCACCAGACTAGGCTTCGACATGGGCCATCTATGTGCGGCAAAGAGCAGAATGTCAGCACATGAGCTGTTCATTTTGTAACTCTTCCTAGGATGAATAGTTTCTTTCTGTACAGTCTCAATCTCCAATGCATCCAGCTCTTGGTCCAACACCTGGCAAAGATCCATAACCACACTCTCATGTATTTTCTGCCACAAGTGAGCCCTGAATATCTGGATCAGAGATATCTTCAGAGTGGGAATCTTTCCATGCATAAAAATCCCAGTGAGATCCAGCTGTACTTGGAAACCAACATATACATTTGCTCTGTTTATAGTAGGTGACCACCAAAGGGTAAATCTCCTATTGGGAATTTGATTCAGTCCAGATCTTTGAGCATTAGTCAATTTCTTGTACTTCATAGACTCCTCAAAACCTGAAGCCTTCTCCCAGAAGAGACCCTCCCACGTCGGGAAGCTGAAATTTAAAACAGCAACAGTAAGATTTGTTACCAAAAAAAATCTAAAAATGATTTTTTAAAAAATTAAAGCATACATATAGAACGGACTTACTATGTTCCCTTGAACAAGGTATGTTCGAGAATTCCTTCTACTCCTCCCAAAGCTTGAATAACATCAGTTCGGTAATTGTTCAAGTTCCACAGCTTCCCGTCGTGCCTCTGGTGCGTCCACCAGAATGGATTTTGCTTCAGAACCTGATATTGCTTAAAATCTGTCCTCACTCGCCATCCTTTGTCATACGCAAGCGTGTGCCGGTCCTTCTGAAACAGAGTATTTATACGAGGTATCCCACGATCCCATGAATCCTGAAGACCAGGAACGTGTAAGTAAACAAACACAGATAGAGACAAACAGAAAAGTAACAAAAATGCATTTAGCATTCAACTAAACACAGATGATAACCAAAAAAATATAACTAAATCTTGAAGAAACCACCCTCATCCCTAACAATTAAAAGGGAAAAGATAAATACAATTACGAGAAGTAAATAAAGCACAAAAACTCACTTCCAAATCCTCCAGGGTTAATCGCCTATTCTGTGCTTGTGCCTCCTGCCTCTTCAATGCATATTCAGCCCAAACACGTTGAGAATCAACAAACTCACTCTCCCATGGCTGGCACAGAATAAACACACAGGAGTCAGTAAGCCAAGAAATAACCTGAATGAATCATAATACATCATTACATGAACTCCAAATACCTGAATGTATCGATACAGATTCGGAATCAATTGATCCTCTTCATGACTCATTCCACTTCTAAAATGTGTCACACCAACATCTGTCTGTTTACTATACCGAAGGTCACTCTGGGGAATCAATATATGACCCATTGACAGCATTCCAAGCCCTCCGATTTCTTTTGGTGTGTAAAAGATGACAGGAGGGAACCTAATAGCAGAAAAAGTTTAAGATCTGTAAGTAAGAATGACAAGGGCAGAAAAATAAATATAGACAATCAAACAAAGTACATTACCTGCTAGGCATCTTTGAATTCAACCCAATCTTTATACGAGTCTGTATTTTATTTTCACATTTTACCAGAAGATCCAACAACTCCTGCGTGTGCACAGTTGCTTCACGGAAATATGTCATAAGACCTGCAGCAGAAAACCACAGCTTTTCAGCAACAGAAGAGCACCATATAGCAGTCTACTACCAATAACATGACACAAGGCAGAAGCAATGTTTGAAACATTTACCTATAAGAGCGGTATTCCATTTGTTGACGATTTTTGTGAATGTTGTTGAACCTGAGGACATGAGAATCTGTCTAACTCGGTTTTCAAACACCTTCATGTGTTCATCATCTACTCGGAGGAAAGCAACTGCAGTACGTTCTTTTGTTTGCTCATTTTGAAGATTCCAAACTCCATCCCGTGTATTGCTGAATGCCTCTTGAGTCATCCTTATCTTGGGAAGTATACGTACTTCGAAACCAGACCTACAACACAATAGTTTTTCATTTTTCACACCATGTCTCAGAAATTCGGACAACTGTCTTGCGAAGGAAATTCAGTAAAAGAAGAAGTAGCATAAAACTATACGTACATGCTGAACAGCAAGTTCGGGTTGTCTTTGCTGTAGACAGATACAAAACCATTCTCCCATTCGAGTGTGGTGATACTTCGTGGAAGACGGTTCTTCATATCCCAGAAAACACTTCTACCAAGATTCACTGAAAAAAGACAAGAAAAACAATTAGTACCTATCAAATGCATAGAGAAACACTAAAGTGATACTAAATTGTGAAAAGCTATTCAAAGTATAGTCACAAGCGAAGATATACCATCATGCTTCATTAGACGCATTCTAGCATCTCGTGGCCAGCACTTCTTATTGTTATAACCAACCATGTTTTCATTGTTGGGATCTGGATGTTCTGTAAGATAGCGCTGAATAAGGTCACGAGCTTCCTCGTGAGTGAAGCGGAACAAAATATGCACCTTCTCAATGTATCTAGAGTAGAGACGGATAGGATGACGTGTTTCCACCCTAGTGTCATGGAAAGTAATGAACTCATTAGGCATCTGTGGTGGACCAGCTATTTCACTGGCTCGGGTAAGACCAAGCAGCAGAAGATCCAGGACAAGCCCATAGTACTGCACAACGAATGAAGCAAACTGTAGACCACGTATGAGCCCATAAGAATTTGTGTGACTCATATCCTTGTATGATAAGACAACGTTATTTTTAGCAGTCACATAATCAGCAATGTTATGATCAAGAACCAAACGCAGAAGCCTGCAAAATTGTGAGATAAAAGATCAGATACAGCATTACAATTTCTTGTCAGCAAAATATAGACATTTAGTTTACTACACTCACCTGTTGAGCATGGTTAGATCAATCTTTTCAAAGAATTTCTCAAATTTAGTCTGAAGCATCACGACACACTGGCCATCACCAGTGTCCCATACACCCTGTAAGTTGTTTATGCCCTGACACCATTTGTACACCAGCAATGGTGGTGGTTCAGAATCTGCTGGCTTAATCCAATTTGGAAACAGGTGCCTTTTATCACCTTCATACCACAAGTACTGATCCAAATATGCATCAGTTATCTTCTCAAGAGGTTCAATCTCATAAACAGGAATCAGATAGCTGTATAAATCCATGAACTCGATGCCGACCTGCAAAAAACAATCCATATTTTAGCTTAGCATGCTTGAAAGAAATAAAATAGAACAGAAAGAAGTTAACCTATAACTAGGTCTCCATTTTATCACGTTTGAGCAGGTTAACACACTAAATAATTGACATATTTTATGAACTGGATGAACTGTTGACCACTTACTTCTTTGAAGGCTCGCTGTGTAAGCAAATGTCGCTTAATGCGCGACAGCGCTTCATGTGGATTATCATAAGCCTGCTCAATCAGACCCAACTCTTCTCTTTGAAGCTGGTTTAACCGGACGGCCACACTGTAGGACTCCTTCAGCCTTTCCAGAGCAAGAATGAGAAGCTTTGTATCGTGCTTGTAAGACAGAGGAGGAAAAGGAATAGGAGAGAATTTTCTAGATTCTAGCCAATGCACAGTGGTCGTGTATATGGCCACTGCTTCTTCTGGTGTCACATACGGGCCATCCTTTAAATAGTTGTGCTGGCGTTCCTGCAAAAGTGGTAAGCAAGAAACATCATACAGTGTATACGGGAAGACTTTGGACAGGGGGTCCAGATTCCACTAACAACTTGAATAAAATAAAAGGACGGAAGTACAAACCTGTTCTGCCTTCAACCAAAGACGGGTCAATCTTCCAAGATTCTTTCGACAGACGGTCTTGTCAACTGTTGCTCCCCTTCTAATACGTTCACGATTATAGTGAGCAACATTTGTCCACCAATCAGCTTTTGATTTGACATAACGAAGTATCATGTTCTCAATGGGAACTGGCAAACCAGGAACCTGCGAGTCCAAGAATTATACAAAACATAAGGTTCAGCCACAAACAAAAAAGGAAGGCTTCACGGGTATAAATTATCAACTGTCATACAGAAAACAGATTAAAGCAGTACCTTCCAAGGAATATTTGCTTTCCAGCAACGCCATGCTTCACTCAAATGCTGCAAGATAGTTCTTGCTTTATTTGCCTTAATACCCTCTGCATGGAAAATGAGCACTATTAACATAGTAATAGAAAAGACATCTATACAACATGGTTAAAAAGGGAAAACTGGGAAAAGGAAGATATGACTGGACGCTTGCCTGGCATTGCATCAAGGACATCATGCATAACAGCAGCACGAAGCTCCAAGTCAAAGTGACTTTCAACACGCTGCTTCGTCACAGTTTTAGCAACTCCTTTTGAATGCCGTCCTTCAAATTGCCTGGCAAGTAAGTTCCCCAACCACCTTTCAAGCAGAGGAACTATACCACGAAGAAAGAACAACCATACTCTCCACATAGGTGCCCAAAAACCACATCCAGGTCCTTTCCCAACAGGCCCGGTATTGAATCGGTAGTATATCAGGTGCTTCAGATCTTTGCACATTCTTATCTGCCTCATAAGCCTGTATTTGTAACGGTACATACCCGTTAACTGGCCAACATGTGAAAATATGTATTGCAACCCATCAGCCAACTGAAACGCGTCCACATTTCCCAAACGGAACTGGATATTTGCATCAACGACAAGCTTCGTCAAACGCAGAATTTCACGACAAAGATGGAAGGCATTGCCAAACCGAGATTTTTTGCGTTCCTTAGTGGTTAGGGTCTTCACGGGCTTCAAGTTGAAATTGTAATCAAGATGGAGGTAGTTCAAATTTTTCCTATGGATTAGCAGGTTCAGCATATTGTAACCTTGCTTACAAACTTGAAGACCTGCTTCGGCCCAATCAAGTTCAGTAGTCTGGAAAAACTTCGTAGCTTGAAGGGACCTAAACAGGTGTTTCTTCTTCTGAGCCTTTGGTGGACGGTGGTGCAACTCATTCAGCACAAAGCATTTCAACAGTTTTTGGTAACTAACGCGAACTTTGACAGGGTACGATGGAGGACTGCAAAAAACACACAAAAAGAAGAATGAGTAAAAAAAACATGCTCGCATTACTTAGTAACTTAACAAAATGCAGAACATCTCTTACCAGTGCTCCTTGTACCACTCAGACACGAGCGGTATATCTTCAGCACGCCTCATCCGACCAGATCGCATGTTGAAGGGCCGTGGGGCAAACAACAACGAGACTCCAGCAGCAGTAGTGTCGGTATATATAGGAGTGCTGGTCAGTAATGGTTCAACTCCCTCGGGCAAGACGAAATCATCATCATCATCTTCTTCGTAGATTTTCTTATCGCGTCTATCTTTATTTGTACTTGTTATTGGGTGAATTAGAGGATCATAATAGAATGCGGGTAAATCAGGATCCTCAGTTTTTATGTACATCACCATTGGAGTGTGATAGATACTAAGCCTTACTTTCCTGGGCCTATTATTATAAAGATGAGGGAACGCAATCCTGTACTCTGTCCTGAGAGGTGAACGGATGATAAGTTTGTTGATGTCGTTAAATTCATTCCAGTCCTCGTCTCCTTTCTCCATGTCACGATATAGAGGCTCAAATTTAGGACCCCCTGTAGAAGTACTATTTATCAGGAACAAACTCATAGAAAGATTATTCAAATCACAACTATAATTTACTCGTCATTGAAATATTTATTACCTAGCTAAAGTAGGAATAACATAACATTGTTCTGGAAAGGAACATATCAACATGGCTTATTCCTACGAATTGAGTATAGCAGCATGCCATGCATATACATGCACATCCAAGTAAGTGTAAGGATCAAAACTGGCATGAAGGTTGTTAAAAATGAAAACTAAATCTAGAGTCAAACTTACCAGGTATACACATGTTCAGGGCTTTGGCTGTGAAGAACGACTCCATGTCAAAAAGGTAAAAGTAATTACGATCAATCAAATCAGAGAGCAGCTGTCCAGCAAGCCGATGAAGTGTTGCCATAATCGGAAGCGAGAGATGCCATTTCCTGTAGCTGGGTCCATTTATAAGCTTTGTCTTCACTAGAGGTTTATGGTCATAGAACCAAGTATAAACAGCCGAATCTTCTTCCTCATCCATCTCCAACTGGATTGGCTCCAAAGGATCCACATCTAGGAGATTATCAGCATAATCCAGTGGAGGCTCTTCATCATCAAAAGGTGGAAAACGCATTCTCTTGAAATGCCGTCTGTCTCTCTTCTCTCTTCGCATCATAATCCACATAGTACCCCACTGCAATATTTTCCAGAATTTCAATGATCTCTCATTTAGGAATTATCAGGAGTATGAGAAAGATTGGAAGAAATAGAGAAGTAAAGATTGATTGAAGAGGTCATCGGTGCACCTAAGATGCACACCAGACAGAAGCATACCTGTGCCAAATAGATTGGTTCGACAACCCATGGTATCTCATTTACAAATGTAATAGCCCCAGTGATATGGTAGAGAACCTTCACTTCACGAACCTAAGGACCCAGAGAGGAAGGAAGTTAAAACAAACATAATCAAAAGGTTGAAGTTACTAGAAAATAAAATCGTTAAAGAGGACCATAAGAGTTGCAAAATATTACATACCTGTTCCCACGGCATGGGCATATTTTCAAGAAGTTTGTACACAGCATGTGGTACAAATTTAAGCGCTCCCAAATAAACACGCTTATCGTGTCTATATTTCTTAGATGACATATCACCATGATCCCTGCCCAGAAAAACAAATCAAATGTTCAGTCAATTGAAACATATATAAGTATATATACAGAAGGGGAAGAGATACAGACAAGACACTATATGATCGATTGAAAAAGTTACATGATATAAAACATGAACATATGTGTGATACAGTTGCACGTTCTATGAATGAAGCTTAATTCAACAAATCAATCAGAGAGGTCTCATTCCAAATACGAAAAAAGAAACGATATAATCCAAAATAATTAAGAATAATTTATACTGCAAAATCGATGCACACATTTTCGAAGAAGAGAACATACATCATGTAAGACCTAGGTATATATATGTTATATATGCACAATTGCGGAAATGTAAGCAGAAACTTCTCTGCGCTCCTTCAATCAATAACTGGAAAAGAAAACCAGCAACGAACTAACCAATGACCGATAGTCGAAGTTCAATAAGCTATATTAACAATCAAAAGCTAACAAATCTTACAGTACCACTGTGAAAACAAATCTTACTATTAGCCGAAAATCGAAAGTACAAAAACTTCTGAAGCACAAACAAAGGCCAAGTATACAACTATGAGACAACATAACAGACAAAATAAACGAAATGAAATGAAAGTAACCAAAAGAAATGAAATACCGAATGATTTTTCGAACATGTTCGGGAGGCATATCCTCCTTCTGCGTCTCCACGAATCCGAACTTCCTCTTATCACTGTACCGCTTCGTGTTGAGCTGCATCCACTTCCTCGCTCGCTCGTCAAGTTGCGACTCACTCGGCACAACTGTGTAAGACGGCGGCACTGTCGCAAGTGGAGGCGGAACAGGTTGCACACCACTAGTTCCGGGAGGAGCCATAGGCGGCATGGCTCCGGCGCCGCCGCTCCCGCTCGTCCCTGGCGGCGCTGGATTACTCATACTGTTGTTCCACATATCCTGCCCGCTGTTGTTGTACATGCTTTTCTAGTGAACTAAAACCCTAAAAACCCTAGCAATAAAACCTCGATTCGTCAAAACGAGATTTTCTCGAAATTCAAATTTGTGATTCTGCAGAAATTGAGTAGCGGTGGAGAATTGAAAAAGTGAGGGTTTCCCCACATAGGGAAATTTGGAAAGGGGAACTTCTCTCGATCTCTCTCTCCCAGTGGATCGAAGAGAGTGGGAAAAAGTGAAAAACTGAGTGAGAATGGATGCGTCGGGTTTTATATAGCGTTGGCGGATGGGTGAAGGCGGTCTAAAATGACCGACTATTTTACTAAATGGGCCGGTTCGCCAATAAAATCCTCATACTGGGCTTTTACTTGAATGTATGTCATTTCAAAATTATTGATATCCCTCGTAATTCAGAATTACGGTTGTTCATGGGTCGGTTTTGACCGACAACCGGCTCATTTATCTGCTCGACTATTCTGATGGATAATTGTCCACCAAGAGATTCATTTTAGTTGGCCGATAATTATATGTCATTTCAAAATTATGGATATCCCTCATAATTCCAAAACAATTTTATTTTCCCTCTTTCCGCAAAACAAATTATTACAATGATTTGTACGGGCACAAAATAAATTTTAACTTTTTATTCACCTTTTCCAAATTAAAATTTTAAATTTTCTCAAATTCTCTCAATCTCCTGAAGTCCTTTTCTTATATCCCGACCGAAATGAGAACTTGAGGTAGTTTTTACGTTTTTCATGATTGTTACGTTATGTAAATTACGGAAACAAAAATAATGGAGTTCTGCAGTATTGGTTCTACGTGGACTCATAAGTACTGAGTTTGTGTATAACCACACGAACACTTGAGTTTGTATAGACATTTGTTTTCTTCTGAAATTGCATTATTGTGATTTAAACACAAAAACTAGTACACCAAATTGTGTAGAACCACACGAACAGTTGATTCTTTGTTTTATAATCGATTTTGTAGATTTAGGGATGTTCGGATAAAAGTGAGCGAATAGTGTGTTTGTCTCCTATTTCGGTGGGAGTAAGAGATTTCAATATAACCACGGGTCAATATACTACCCTAATTATAGTTTATGAAAGGTTATTGGGTTTCATACCAAGTTATACTCGATTCATATAAAAAATTCTAGAGATTATTTTCAAAATGTATTTATTTATGTTATTATAAGAAAATAAAAGGAGTTTTATTTATTTATTTTTAAAAAATTGAAAAACAATCTCAAGTTTTATGCTGATTATTAAGCAATAGGGACATATGACGACTTCAGTTCTGGAAAGCGAACTGCACCATACTTGAAAAATGGAAACCGGAGGCAATTAATCCCCATTTAGAATGCAATACGGGGAACAACACTTGGTTCACGCGCTACAATCGCGTGGCGATAACAAACGTTTCATTTTCTGACCCCCGTCAAATCCAATCTTCTATAAATACCCACCGCCACCACCAGCCACCACCCCCACCGCATAAACAAAAACGCCTCTCCCAAAAGCAGGATTTTTTTTGTATATTTAATTAAAATAAAAGTGAATAGCCAGATTTAGAAAAATCTTATAAATGTACCCTTAACCCTAATTCTTGATTATCTTCTTCTTCTTTTTTTTTTTCTTTTTTGAATTTTTTGAATTTATACAGTACATTTGTCTTTTGAATTGATTCGACTTGTTTGCGGTAATTATGTCTGCAATACTATGCGGAAAGAGATCGTTCTTCGAGGAGGCAGAATCAGGAGCGCCGTCGCCGACGTCAGCATCTCCGCCGGTTTACAAGAAGTTGCGGTGTTCTTCCTCAAATTCGCCGGTCCGGTTTACATACTCGCCCCCTGCGTATTCCGGTCCAGTTGATCAGCTCAAGGCGTTGTTTCCTGATATGGAAATTCAGGTGATTGTTGCAAGCACTCTCTCGCTTAATTTTTTTTGTTTTAATTTTTTATGCAGTTCTGATGATGGCTTAGGGTTTATGTTGGGTCTGATAGATCTGAATTGTTCATGAGTTTCATGAGTATGGTGTCTTTTTTTTTTTTCTGGAAATGATTGCTTGTGCTTAATCATTTCTTAAAAAACTGGGATTTTGGCCTATGTGTTCATTAATTATGTAGTTACTGTGTGTGTGTGTGTTTCATTTTGATGATATGAATTTATGCATGGATTGACAGATAGGTTGAGAATTGTTTGTTGGCCGAATAGTTAATCTGCTGCTGGTGTATCACTAATCGTGGAAGAACTATTTTGTTGTAAACCTCATCAAGAAATTGATTCGTATTTGACATTAATCATGAACGATTTGTAACTCGTGAGGATTTCAGTAAGGAATGATTTGTGAAGAAGATTTAATCTCATAAATTCTCGATTTCCTTCTATAGTTAGTAACTGCTCATGTGTTTCTATTATACTACATTTGATAATTTGCATGGTTCTGATGAGGATTGCATCTTGGAAATTACATCAATTAGGGTTTTCGTAAAATGAGATGATCCATGAATTGACCTTAATATACATGTTCTTTTTGTTACTCCTTGATAGCATGTAAATCCCTTGCTATTTATATTTGACGACTCTATTCCGTGATGGATTTTGTGCGAAATGTAATTGGCGAAGCTGTTCAATTTCACTGTGTTGACTGTGTACACGTGTAGAAATTCGGTAGCCACTAATCATTTGTCATAACTATTTGCAGCTCCTCGAGAAAGCATTAGAAGATTCTGGCAATGACTTAAATTCTGCCATTAATAGCCTCAACGAGCTTCAACTTGGATATTTGAAGAGCAACTCAGGCTTAGCTGCTGAAGAAAATCCAGATATGGAAAAAGGTATGTCCGCACGTAGCAGAAACTAAACAATGGAACAATGCCCTGATAATTGAATTTCTACCCCCACATTTTGGCTTCTTCGACACGTATCTTTTTAGTACTCTCATTAATCCACTAATCTGGGCTGATGGTAGACCTTGATAACACGTGTCTGTGCCTCTCTGTGTATTTATTGCATTGCATTTATATAGACCTAGAATTATCTCAATCGACTCACTTTAACAGCGTCTCGACAAAATCACAAAAATCTTCGAAATGGTTACCTAAATCAGAAATCCATCGGAAAATGATGAAATTCATAAATACTTTTGTCATTCATCCACCTCCTTATGAAAGAATGATAAACCAGAGTTTTTGGTTTAATGTGATGTAAAGATCATATATGTTACTATTTCACCACCGAACCATAAAATCATAAATGACAATTCAACTCTGTGATTCGTGCATAAAATCTGTTTGTATTTGATTTTTCTCCTTCTTTTACATTTATCATTTTTAACATCTCAATTCTTTCGCTGTTGGATTTTTCTAAAACACGTGATGTGCGTAATGAGATATTACATTACTTGCAGAAACAGCACCGGGTTTTGTGGATGCAGTTCCTTCGGAGGAGCCTCAAATCCAAAACAAAATGCCCACAAATGGTGCAGAGTGGGTGGACTTAGTTGTCAAGGAGATGATGAGTGCCACTAGCATAGATGATGCTAGATCCCGTGCAGCACGCGTATTAGAGAGTTTAGAGAAATCCATCACTTCTCAGGCTAGTGCCCGCCTGGCTGAAGGGTTTCACAAGGTAAGTAACCCTAGGGGGGCCATGCCCCCCTACCACTTCTCAAAAAACTTCTATTGTTTTCTTGAAAAAATTAGGAAAATTTGGATTGGAGGGATTGTTGTCGAACGAGAAGTTCTGAACATTTTGATTAAAATATATAATTTCTTGATAGATATGCTTACTGAAGAATCACATACCATGTTTTGTGTTTGCAATTTCATGTTCTTGTTCTTGCAGGAACATGCGATGCTAAAGGAACAAATCGAGGCACTTCTTGGAAACAATGCCATACTCAAACGGGCTGTGGCGATTCAGCACGAACGTCAAAAGGAGTATGATGAGAGTAACCAAGAGGTGCAGCAGTTGAAGCAGTTGGTGGCTCAATACCAGGAGCAATTGCGAACCCTTGAGGTGAATTTGCAAACTTTCCATATTATTTAATTACGCATGGTTATCTCTTTTCCAGTTTTGCCCTTGTTTCTTCTAATTAGTGGAGAAGATTATTTTAGTTATATTATGTGTTTTCCCCTTAAATTCTTGCATATTTATTAGATTTTATGAATACACAAAAAAATAGATAATTTGAAAAAGAGAGAGTATTATTTGAACGGAGAGAGTATTAGTTAATTTTTATTTGGTGCCTTACCTTCATAATGTGACTCCGTCCGTCTTCAAATTAAATGTTATTTTGTGGAATATTTTGTTTCCGTATTATCAGAGTCAGTAGAAATTTTAGAATGCAGATGATGCATTGATTAATTTCTTTTCCCACTTTTGCCCTTATTTACTCCTAAATAGCAGAGCGATAAGTAGTGAGAAGGGTATTTTTATTATTTTGATTTGGGGGTATTGTCTGGAATATATAAACATGCATGATAATGGAACTCACTTGCTTAGTTCCTTTTTTCGTTTCTTGCAGATGAACAACTATGCTTTGACGTTGCATCTGCGCCAAGCGCAGCAATCCAACTCCTCCGTCATTGGACGTTTCAATCCCGATGTATTCTAATAAAATAAAAAATAAAATAAAAGATGGAATGATGCTTCTAGAAGATTTTACATAGGTTGTTGTCTGTTGAAGTGTCGGATACCGAAGTAATGTATGGTTTAAATTTCTCATATACTGAGGTTATATATATAAAGTCATATATGTAAGTTGTGAGGCCATTTTTCCTGGAACTGGGCCTAATGTAATTTTCACTAAAGATTGTGTTGGTAAGTTGAGATTTCAATTAGTTGATACTTTTAATTTTTCTTGTCTTTGTTTTGTGGTTCTTGTTTTTCTTGTTAAGGGTAGCAACAGGGGTAAAATGGTAATTAGAAGGTTTGTTTATTCCAATTCCGATTCGTAAATTTAAAGAAATGAATTTCGAAATCTTCCAAAATTCGAAATTTTTGGGATTATGTTTCAAATTTTTTTTATTTCTTTTTGTTGAGAATGAATTACGTTTCTATGCATAACAAAAAGGGTAAATTACGGATATCGTGAGATAATGTCAAATTATAAAATACCTCATCCTGTTTGGATAATTACGACTATATACATCAATTATGAATTTTCCTACACTTTCACTATTCGGTGTCAAATTTAGTGAATTGTTTTAGATTATGTGGAATATTCTCCAATTTCTACTATGTTTTACTCCATTCGATGAACATATGATGCGTCTCGGAGGCTTGTAAATATCCAATTATGGCGCATCAGAAACTGTAACATTCCACTGAATGTAGAAAATTATGTTGAATTCGACATAAAAAATGGTGAAGGTGTAAAAAAATTTATAGCTGATGTTTAGTTGTAATTACCGGACGTGAGGAGTTGTTTTGTAATTTGACGGTGACCGTAATTTACTCTAATTAATAATATAATAATATACATATGTATTTAAAAAACGTGCTATAATATGAAGTGGAAGCGGAAGCGCGTCACAGAACAATCTCTCTTACTACCATTTTATCCACACCCACACAAAAGAGAGAAACCAAAATAAAAAAATAAAAAATTAAAAATTAAAAAAGAAGGGAAAAAAAATGAAGGAAAAAAAGTTGTGACATCCAACAGCAGCGCTGAAACTCGATATACTGAAAAGCAATGAGCAAAACCCCAACGATTCTCCACACTCTCTCAGGACTTTCATCGAACAGGTACAGTTAGTTCACAAACAACACACTCATCTGAATCTCCACTCTACGATGGCCGCCGCCGCCGCCACTGCGGTGTCGCTATGTTTCCCTTCTTCTTCGTCCTCGAGTTTATCGCCCCAAAAGCAGAGCACTCTGCTTTTCCCTCCCTTGGGCTCTTCGTCGTCTTGTCTATTTACGGGCGGCTCCCTCATCTGGGGCAGTAAGAAGTTTCTGCAAGTTTCGTTATCCTCTGCCGCACAATTGGATAAGAAAATGTGCGCGCGGAGGTTTAGAAGAGCGGTCGTGGTTGCTGCAGCAGATTACTATTCAACTCTTGGAGTGCCGAAATCTGCTAATACCAAGGAAATTAAGGCCGCGTATCGAAAGTTGGCTAGGCAGGTAGTGAATTGTGAGGAGTTTTTGTGTGATTTCTTCATTTTTTTGTCGAATTTATAATAATTAAATCTAGTGGCTGCTTTATTTTAGCTTGTAATTGAGTTGTTTCTGATGTGAAATATTTTCTGGGAAGTGGGAATTTGATTTTATTTGAGTGTATATACAGTTATTTGAGAATTTAGAACTGCCTTTTCCTTGTTTTTCAGTTCCATCCTGATGTCAACAAAGAGCCTGGAGCAACCGACAAATTCAAGGAGATCAGTGCTGCATACGAGGTAAATACGGACAAGTACTGTTTGATTTGTGCGATTTTTATTTTATTGTTCTTTTGACCTTAAACCTGTTCGTACCAATGGGGTTCCGATTATTGGAGTAGGATGCGGTTTTGCTTCTAATACGACCTTAAACTTGTTCGTACCTCAAATGATTTCTCATGTGTAGTATGTTTTGCATATGTTGGTAGAAGAATTCTGAAGTACAATATTGTCAGGTACTATCAGATGACAAAAAGAGAGCTTTGTATGATCAATATGGTGAAGCTGGCGTCAAAAGTACTGTTGGTGGACCTGGTGGTTACACGGTATTGGTTAATTTTTGTAGTCGCAGTTTTACATTTTGCCTGAAGATTTTCCGGAGTTGCAGCATTGCTTAAATATTATCTAACTTGTTATCATCCAAATTTCAAATAGCATAGTTTTGGTTTAATCTTATCTGAAGTAGACTCTTTTCTCCTATAAATTGTGTCCTAGAGTAAAGGAAGTTTAAATATATCAGTTACAGGCCACAGTCCAATTGTACGATAATATCAAAATGATGTATCGAGACTTATATGAAACGAGAAAGATGACTTCTTAAAATAGTACCCAAAAGATATATAAATAGTTGCTCTAAAGAGAATTTCTCCTGTATGCCTATTTCACAGTAAAATGAGTGTATGTTTTTTTTGATGATGAACATCTTGTTCCACAGGCGACCAACCCATTTGATCTATTTGAGGCATTTTTCGGGTCTAATATGGGTGGGTTCGCTGGAATGGATGGATCTGGATTCGGAGCATCACGCCGTAGTAGTGTTTCAAAAGGTGAAGATATCCGGTGAGTAAAATTGAGTATATTGTTCCTGGACATGCCTTGTCATATTCTTTTGCCACTGTCATACAAACTCGTTATATTGTCTATGTTTTCTAGAAGAACGTCGCTAGCCTGTAATACTTTCCAATCTAGTTTTATTACAAGTTTGCATGATTTTCTTGTGAGAAGGACTCTTAAATAACTTCTAACGAGTTGTAGATAATGTTGTTTTGTCTACTAAATTTCTCTTGACAACATTTATGATCATCATGGTTGACTGGTTACTGAATATGAATTTCAGTTATGATATGACATTGGAATTTACGGCGGCTATATTTGGGGATGAGAAGGAATTCGAGCTGTCCCATCTTGAAACATGTGATGTTTGTGCTGGTACTGGAGCAAAAGTAGGTTCCAAGATGAGGATATGCTCAACATGTGGTGGCAGAGGTCAAGTCATGAGAACTGAGCAAACACCTTTTGGCATGTTTTCACAGGTACTCCTGACATGAGCAATATGTGAGATTTCCTTGTATCTTTGCTTAATAATGTCTAAGAAGAGGGAAAAAAATTACTTAAGATAATAGTGGTCATCACTGGTTATTATGTTCGTGATTAGTTGCAAGTTGGAACCTATTACAAGTTTTCCGGAAGTACTCATGGAGGGCTTTATCTAGTTCTCTATTTACTATTTGTTACATAATTGACGCATCCACATAATGTATATACAATTTGTGGTTCTTAGTGCATTCAAATAAGAATGGTCAGTCGATAAGCATGGAATAGTTTAATTTATTGTCGTCACACTCAAGCTCATTGTATTTGTTTGATGCATGATGTTGACCTTTGATTTTTGTTTTGCTAAACGAATCTGATTGTGTAAAACAAGATCTAGAGAACTAACTCTTTCTGAAAATTTAGTTAAAAAATGCACTTCTGTGGGAAAAAAAATAGGTTTCTGTTTGCCCAAGTTGCGGTGGAGATGGTGAAATGATATCTGAATCCTGTCGTAAATGCTCTGGTGCTGGCCGAATACGAGTTAAAAAAGACATCAAAGTCAAAATTCCTCCTGGAGTTAGTAAGGGCAGTATTCTTCGAGTTTCTGGAGAGGGTGATGCCGGGCCAAAAGGGTACGTTTTGATGTTCTACTTTCTCTTCTGATTTTGTAATCCACCGATTTAATAAAGATTGGAAGCTACATACTTCCCCCCTGCAAAGTGTTTGTCATGTTAACTTGGTTATGTAACTGCATGTTGAGAAAACGAAAGATCATTGCGAGTTCACATGAAATCATCATATTTTCTAGGATAAGACCTACCAACTTTCTTGAGCGTTGGTTCTGCAAATTGTGTAGACATGATGAAGTTTGATGCTAAAAATGTTTTTATTTTGCCCCTATCATTATTTACGTGCATTGCATTATTTTCTTGTAGGTTAGTATTTCTATCTTGAAAATGCAAAAGGTACATTGTGAAACGCATGATTTTAACTCTTTCTGGGGTTTCCATCCTTTATACAGGGCCCCAGCTGGAGATCTTTATGTCTATCTTGATATCGAAGAGATACCCGAAATTCAAAGAGATGGCATAAATCTTTATTCTGTTATTTCAGTCAGCTATCTGGATGCCATATTGGGGACTGTTACTAAGGTACATGTACATCTGGTCTTGATATTTTCTGCATTTCCATTTAATTTCTCGTTTTGAACTTCTCTGCATTTACCCTTTGATGTAAATAGCCAAATGAGAATGCTGCAGCCTGTATAGAATAGTGCTCAAGTAGTTTATAATGGTAATTTTTTCCGTGCTATTGATTCCATCTGAAAGTGAAGACACGAGCAATAAGTAACTATGATGATTGTTTGAATTAGGGACTGTTCTTTCTAATGTGCTCGACAGTTTTCGCCTGGATATCATATTTAGTAACTCTTTTAAGTGGTTGAAATGTACGTTTTAGACTCGTAATGATCTTTTATACTTTCCAATTTTCATTTTTTAATTATTAGATGTTTAAATATGCTAATTAATTCACATGCTTTATTACTTTACTTTAATCATCTAGCTACCCATGCAACTTATTTTATGTAATTATGGTATAAAAGGTTAGGTTATGCAGAACGGATTGTTATTCTAACTTCTATATAGTGGTGTATTTATATTTTTGATTTTATCATCTCACTTGATAATTGAGATCACCGTCTACAGGACCATAGTTGATAAGAAGAAATTAAATACGGAATAACATGACCAATAATTATTGAATTATAATTCCCAATTTTTGTTTTTTTATAATTAATGATTGGTGTATTGCTTCCCTAGACTCCACGGTTTTGCATGAAATTTACCATGCATGCGAATTATGGGAAGCGTGATTCATTAAACTCTACATCGGCAATTTACGTTCAAATTATGCTGTGGCAATATTAATGGTATTCTATTGTTGTTGTCAAGATGACTAAAAAATGATACCTCGTATGTGGAATAGGTCAAGACAGTCGAAGGAATGACGGACCTGCAGATTCCTCCAGGTACTCAACCTGGAGATGTGCTCGTTTTGGCAAGAAAAGGTGCACCCAAACTAAACAGGCCATCGATACGCGGCGATCATTTATTCACTATTAAAGTTGCCATACCAAAGCGTGTCAGGTAAGTCAAAACGCTTCCTCAATTTTAGCTGTATTTTACACGCACAATAAACCTTACGACTTTCAGTATGGTAATTAGATATTTATTCTCATCTTTTTCCAAACTCGTGACACTGACAAAAAAGAGTTAGTTTAGTAAATGGAGAAATATTTATATCTTAATTTTTTTTCTTGAACGATGAATGACCCCGAGGGTTATGATAAAATCAGGTTAGACATTATTGCCACCTGTAATATTGTCATACAATATTCCAGAGTTTTTGCAGTTTTTAGATTTAAGATACTTTAATTTCTGTTTTCAGTACGGAGGAACGTGAACTACTTGAGGAGCTTTCTTCTCTTGGTAAGGCCCCAGCTAATCGTTCGAAAACGCGCCCGAAAGTTCAACAACCTGGTAAATTCCCAACTGTTATATATCACATTGCAAATATTACGTATTCAACAAAAAAAAGGTTATTATTCATATCGAAATACCAGTTGTTATCTGATAATTGATGTCTGATCCGATCTCTGCTTTTCAGATGAAAGTACAGAAAGTGAAAAAGGTCCCTTATCGGAAAATAACGATGAATCGGAAGATGGAGAAGACTTATTGACGAAGCTGAAAGATTTAGCTGGGTATATATATATATATATATATATATATATATATATATATATATATATATATATATTTCTCCCTCTTGTTAATTTCCCTTGAATTTTGCCAATGTTGACATTTCATCCTGATTGTGTAAAATTTGCAGGACTGTTGCAAATGGAGCTTTAAAATGGTTCAAAGATAACCTATAGTTCTTCGTTGCGGATTTTGTGGGGGCGTTTCGCTGTTCAGTCGAATGATCTTAGGTTCTAGCTGAGAAATCGGACAAAAAAAATCTGATCGGAATTCTTTGATTTTTCCATCCTTCTTTGCTGCTGTATATTATAGCACGAGTTACCACAGAGTTTTCTCGAATTGTATTCTTTTGTACCTCGTGAATCGTTAGACGAGAGGCAATGTGTAGAAAGTATTTGAAAATGCCACCATATTTTTATTTGATTTTTCATTGTGTGTCTTCTTTTTTGTAATAGCACCAAAAACACACACACACATGTCTGTGTATGACATGCTTTTTCCCATATGGAGGTAGTTGTGAGGTTTTATGTTTAAGTGGGGTTAAAAAGTAATATTTACAAAAGAAAATGTTTAAAATATTATCAAATACTAATAAAATTAGGAGTTACGGATTTTTTCTTCTCCTTTTCCTTTTTTGTAACCAAAAAGAGAGAAAATTATATTTGTATGCCAGTCGATTTTATAGTAACAAATGGCTTAAAGTAACTTTGCACCCTTGAAATGTTGTATTTTGAGACTTTGCACCCTGAAATGTGGTATTTTGAATTTTGACACTTTGCACCATCGAAAAAAGTTAATAGCACTTTGCAACCCAAAACACAATAAATCATTCACAATGCACCCCTAAATTGAATATTTAAAATTTAATGAGCGCAATTTCATCTTTATTGGTTTTTTTATTTATATGGTGCAAAATAACTAATTAAAATTGTTTGTTATTTTTTAATGTACAAAGTGCGAAAAAAAATAAAATTACACCGAATAACTGTAAAAAAAAAAAAAAAACTAGATTTTACTTACAAAAAGAAAAAAAAAACTTTCCTCACTATATTATTCGAATATTGGATCTTTTATTGTAATTGGTGAAAATGTTTGTTATAAGCCTTTGGAAAAAAAATGCAATTTTCAAATAACTTGGTAACAAAATAGTTGAGGGATTTTTTTGTCATTTAAAATATTATTGTGTGATACAAAAAGTATAACTATTAAATATATTAGATGATATGCACTCTCATTTTGCACTTTGTTATTTTGAATATATTTTTTTTATTTGACACTTGAGATCTTAAAAAATACAATAAAAATATAAAGGCATTATTTTCAAAAATTCATTCGATGTGCATATGCATGATTTATTGTGTGTTTGATGGTGCAAAGTGTTATTAATTTTTGTAGGGTACAAAGTACTAAAAAACTATATTTCAAAAGTGCAATAAGCCATAACAAATTGAACAAACGAATGGTGATTTTTGTTAATAATCCGAGCACACAAAAGGGAATAATTGCAATTGAATCCAAAAGGATAAGAAATTAGTTTAATTTCAATATACTCTTACGGGGGTTATTTTGTAATTTCGCACTTTATAATTTAGGAGTAATTTTGATTTTTCACGAATTTTTAGTTTATTTATTTATTTATCTACATGAGATACTAATTATAAATTTATAATTCCTTAAACAAGATGGTTTATTCTTCCCTTTTTTAATCAGAGCAAATCTCATAGATGATAATCACGATTTTTTTCTCTTAATCTCATTATTCTAATTCCAATATAGTTTACATAAAAATAAATAATTAAAAAAATATTAAATTAAATAAAAAACAAAAAGAAGAAAACAAGGGAGGCGGATTCTAATCGGACGGTTGAGAGTAGAGTCCACAACTCCTCCCTAATAAAGAGGAACTTAACTATAAATACGGAGTCCAATGAACATCGAAATAGGCCGCCACTAAAATTTTTTAAGTCCAATTAGGGTTTTTCAATTTCCAAGCCCATCTTCTTCTTCTCCTTCTCCCTCCATTAATTTTTCTTAAAAAAAAAAATAGAAATCGCAACAGTAGTATTCGTTAAGCCCTAAACCCCTGGTTTGGTTTTCTCCGACGCACCAGAATCTCGCCGCCCCGCTGATTGGAAGCACTTTTCACCCGTTTTTTTTTTCGGTGAGTGAATTTCGGTTTCTCCTTTTTCAGTAACGAGATCAAGAGTTGTGATTTGCCTGTTTGTGAAATTTGGTGGGGTTTTTTTTTTTTTTTTTTTTTTTTTTGCGCTTCGGTATTGGCGGTTTTGCTGTGTTTTTTAGGGTTTATCTGGGTTAGTTTTTATTGAAAAAAAAACCGTTTTTTTGGGGTTTCAACGGGGCATATATGTTGTCTGTGTGTGTGTGTGGTTACACGTGTGTGCATTGTGTACCTGAATACTGCTGATATTTCATCTTTTTCATCCCTCCTGTAGAATTTTCACTTTTTGAGTGGAGTAGTAATTCACAAGTATAATTGGTCATGTTAAGATGTTCTAGAAATATGTACAATCAAGTAGACAATATTATAAACGAATGAATCAATTTGGGTACTGGGGAAATCGTTATGTATAATTCTGCGACTCTGGAATTTATTATGCGGCTTTTGATTAGAAAATATACTTGGGAGTATTGGAGTATGTATATTCTGTTTATTGTTACTTTGATATTTTTTTCTCTCCAGAATTTACCTTCGTGAAGATTCAATAGGTAATCTATTTCTCTTTGTTTTGTGTTTTAAGTCATGGTACACTGTGTTTAGTTTCTTTCCTTATGCATCGTGTATTTGGTTCTCCCCCTGTTTTAATTTCCCAAAATATTGAATTATATGGTTTCTCTCCCTTTTGATCGCAGGATACGCAATGGATATATCTATTAATCAAAATGCTTTCCCCGATCCCGATCCGAAACCCAATAAACGTAGGCGGAAGAAGTCCATGGTCTGGGAACATTTCACAATCGAGACTGTTAATGCAGACTGTGTCAAAGCGAATTGTAATCTGTGCAAGAAATCGTTTGCGTATATATCAGGCTCAAAACTAGCAGGAACCAGTCATCTGAAACGGCATATTTCTATGGGAATCTGCCCCGTTACTCGGCATAATCAGCAGAAAGATCAACTTAGTATTCAGGCACCACCTCCTCCAAAACCTAAAATTTCTGAAAACGGCACCAGCTCTAACTCACCAAGAAAGCGCCACAGAGCCGCCAATGGAGCGGTCAGCATCTACTCTAATGGTGGTAATAATTGGAGCCATGATCTTGCGAAGATGATAATTCTGCACGATTATCCGCTTCACATGGTTGAACACGCTGGATTTATCGATTTCACACGAAATCTTCAGCCCCAGTTTAACGTCTCTAGTGTCGCCACAGTGCAAGAGCAAATCATGGGCATTTACACGAGAGAAAAGCACAAGGTAATGGACCTGCTTAGAGTAATTCCAGGGCGTCTCAACATTACAGTGGATGTGTGGACCTCAGATAAAAGCTATGAAAGCTTGGCTTACGTACTTCTAACAGGTCACTTCATCGATCATGATTTGAAACTGCAAAGACGAATCTTGAATTTTATCGCGGTGGAGTTTCCTGATTCGGACACCGCTCTCAGTGAAGGTATTGCCGCTTGCCTGACTGATTGGAACGTTGAGGAGAAGCTACTTACTATCACTCTCGATCGTAGTTATTGCAGCCAAAAGGCTAGAGAAAATCTCAGAAATTTACTACCAATGAAGAACTCCCTCACTCTCAACGGCCAGCTGGTAATCGACAGCTGCTACGCTCGTATGTTGAGTAGTTTGGCACAGGATGCTATTGAATCTATGAGGGTAACCATCGAGAAAGTAAGGCATAGTGTAAAGCATGTTGAACCTGGAGAGGATCGAACCATCGAGGAGTCCCACAACGAAATATTTGTTAAATTGAAACAAGAGCTTCAACATCCCAGTACAAAGAGGTTGAAGATTGACGACGTGACAAAATGGGATACCACCTATCATATGTTGGTAGCTGCCTATGAAGTGAAGGATGTACTATCAAAATTAGAACGCGAAGATCCAGATTACAAATGTAGAATATCGGAGAAAGAATGGGAACAGGTTGCAATTCTGTGCAGTTTCTTGAAACTACTTTTCGATGCAGCCAATGTATTAACGAGACCTGTCTATCCAACGACCAATATATTCTCTTCCCAAGTGGTGGATATTCACAAAGAGTTTACTGAAGCTGCTGCTACGAGCAGTGACCCGTTCCGCATCACACTGACCAAACCGCTGAGGGAGAAGTTTATGAGGTATTGGGAAAGTTGCAACCTGGTAATAGCAATGGCTGCTGTAATGGATCCGAGGATGAAGATGGATTATGTGGCGTTCAACTCCACCAGGATCTACGGTGAGGATGCGGGCACCTGGGTCAAGATTGTAAATGACAGCCTGCACGAGCTCTTCCTCCAGTACGTGATGCATTCCCATCTGGGACCTGCTTTCGCCGAGGAAGAAGCAATCGACCCTTTGGTGAAGATGGAGATGCCTTGTCAAGAAGATGCTCTTCTCTCCAGTGTGGATGGATTAATAGACTTCGACATTGACATATCGGATATTATGGGCGAATCCCACACGAAGCTGGAAATTGATCAGTACCTTGAGGAATCCATTTTGCCACGTGTGCAAGAGTTCGATGTTTTGGGTTGGTGGAGAGTGAATACTTATAGGTATCCGACTTTGTCCAGGATGGCATTCGATGTGTTGTCTATACCGATGTCGACTACCCCTACAGAGTCCGTGTTCGATACGAGAGAGAGGAAAGTGGATGATTATCGAAGCTCGTTGAGACCTAGCACGCTTGATGCTCTTTTCTGCGCAAAAGATTGGTTAAGGTATAATACCGAACTTCCATCATCAATTGTGCCTGCTGCTACTGCTAAAACAGAATTCTACTGATATGTGATTTGCATATTATTCATTTTTGTAGATGGGTTTTAGGTTCCTTTTTTTTTTTTAATTTTTTTTATAAAGGTTATTTTAGGAATATTCTTTGTTTGTTGCAATATTAATAAAGAGTACAGTTTTGTTTTATTAGAAATTTTATAGAGTCAGTTTTTAACAACTGATTTGATGTTTTCAGCCTTCAGTTTCAGTTTTATTTATTGCGTGATTGGTTTAATATTATTTTTGAGTTGGTACAGTAATTTAATAATTTCATCTTGGTTTAATTTCACTGGGGACAGAAAAAAATGATTTTGGATACTTTGAGAACTGTAGTGCTGGATAATGGGCCTGCCTGTGATTTTTTTTTTTTTTTTTTTTGAATCTGAGCCTATGTGATTGAATCTAATCAATTAAATTATTGTTTATATATATATATATATATATATATATATATATAATAATTTCTTTTCATAATTTGCAATAGAAGAATACTAAAAATGTTATAAAATACTGCAAACTCATTGTATGTTCTTTGGTTTGACAAGAAGAAAAAACCCGCGTCAAACGGTAATATACCTATTTAGTTACGTTTAAAGTAGTTCGTAATTTATACTCCGTCCGTTCTTTTTAAGTGTCGTTTAAGGTAGTTACGATTGAAGCAGTTCGTAATTTGGGATTTGTTTAGAAAAACTGCGATCGAATTAATTAATTACTATTTAGAAAAAAATATTGTAGTTTGTTTTTTCAAGGCAAAAAGCTTTTAAGTTTAGACACACCTACACAGTTATTACTTACTGGAGAACAGAGTGCCATGAATCATAAATTTCAGATATATGTAAATCTAAGTTATATTTTATTTTATTCATGGAACTAATCAACTTAAAAGAGTGCAAATAGTGGAACATTTGTGTATTTTATGTTATACCGGATGAAATAACGCTAAACTTACATTAGTATGTGTAAATTAACCCTAAAATTCACCCGATATAATCTTTCATCTGGTGTAGCGTAAAAATAACCGCAGCGAGTGGGAAAATATAGGAGGAGCATTATCCGGGAATTGCACGCTATTCAACACACACGTAATAGTGTGGATAGCTGCTGCAGCCAACTCATATATATATATATATATATATATATATATATATATATATATGCCTTTGCGCCAGACACACAATAAACCAATCTGCCCCAATCACATTTATTGCATTCTACTTATTTTGTTTTTCAAGACTAAACTTTTATTTTATTATTAATTGTAAACGGAATCAATGCATTTTCTAAATTCTCAATTTATTAAACAAATAAACTATTGATAAATTACGAGTATACTCTGCGACAAGATGATTTTTTTTTTTCCTTACACCAAATGGGTATTTAGGGGTAGATCTGAAAGTTCATATCGAATATTAAATGTAATCTTCAAGATTCTATTAGTTATATCTTTGTAAGGGAGTAACTATTAGATGATATGATAGTTGATGAGGGTATTTATGTTTAGTTTTAGGGCAGAAAGTATGACCGATTTGAACTCGTTCGAATTCAACTTGATTACTTATTAGATTGAAATTAAACAGAAAGTTCGATAAAATTCCAACAAATTTGAACAATGAAAAGGTCAGCTCGATTCTATTCGATTTAACAACTCTAAATCGAGATTTCACAATCAAATTTAGGTGGTGTGTTTAGACTTTAGACCAATTTTAAAATAAGACTAACAAAGTATGACTGAAAAATAAAAATACTGAAAAAGAAGTTGAAAAAATTGCTGTGATTTGAAGGAACAATTTAGACCAACTTTAATCAGCGACTTGTCAACTTAATTTAATTCACAAAGCTGTCAATTGATAGTTAATTATCAAATAATGTGTATTAGTAATTAATAAAAGTTGATTAGTCAAGTCATCATGGCCCACTCAGTTAAATGTACCCAATTGAGCTTACCTACCTAGGTAGGTTAGTAATTAGTTGGTAAAATTATACACAATTTAAAGTATTTTTTAAAAAAGTAGAGGTAAATTTGACAATTGTGTCGGTTTATTGGGGACACGTGTAAAATAGTATATATTAAACATTAATTTCATTTACAAGATAAATTTTTTAATTTTTTTCTACAATTTGAATGAAGAACATATTTGTTTTGTTGAACTTTATATTAACATTAGTGACACATTCATAAAATGATAAATGTTGAATAAAAGTCATAAATGAATACTTTTGTCAAATAACAAAAATCTCCTTTAAAATAAATGCCAATTAAACCTTTTTTTACGAAAATACTGAATTTACAATTTTGTGTCAAATGCCAAAATATCAGTTATGGCAGAACTTTCGTTCCAAAAAGATCCAAATCTAATTGCAAGAATATGCGCCAGCTGATTACTGGAGCGCTAACAAACCAAAAAACATATTACTTCGTCCGTTTATGTATTAGCAATATAAAATTATTTTTCTACAATTTCAATGAAGAACAAATTTATTTGTTCAACTTTATCTTAACATTAGTGACACCTTAACAAAATTATAAATGTAGAATAAAAGTCATAAATGAATAATTTTGTCAAATACAAAATTTCCCCTTAAAATCAAGGCAATTAAAAAAAAATGGAGGGAATAGTTAACTAGTTGATTTAATATATTATTATTTATCTTGTTGATTAATTAAATAATGTCAAGTGTAAGTATCAAATTTTGAAAAACAAAGAGTGATGGGGCTATTTTCTGATAACAAGTGGTCATTAAAATATTCCCACCATACAATAAATTAACATATCTCTAATATTTATCTATTTACTATAAGGAAATAATCCATAATCAAATATATTTGTGTAATAGGTAAATTTTCATTGTTCTTCAATAACTTGCGATTATTTGAGGTCGTCTTTTACGATTTAATGATATATAGTTATATACAGTAGAATTTCGATAAATTAACACTTGATAAATTAATAACCTTGTTTAAATAATAAGTTTTTTCGGTCTCAACTTAGGAAGAATGTGCTAAATTATTAACTTGATAATTTAATATTTCGTTAAATTAATAGAATTTCTCTAGTTTCTACTGTATTAATTTATAAAGGTTTACCTGTATTATAATTTCTTATGTTTTACTTCAATGAATTGGTAACTTAAATACCTCAAAAAGATTGTAACATATAAAATAAAAGAATGTGGTCTCATTTTGAGTAGTTAGGTGTGTATGTTTGAATTAGGGTGTTTTTAAGCTTTAAAGCTATTAAAAATAGCTTATAATCTATATAATAAAGTGTTTAGTAATATTCTTTTAAAAGATCATAAGAATTAAAAAATAAATAGCTGGAGGGTAAGTAATAATAATATTTTCACTATATTTCTTTTTATGAATAAATAAAGTCGTTTTCAAATATTATCCACACACTAATTAAGGTGCACCTTATTCCATACGAATATCGCCCAATTTTATTATCCTAGGAACATTATTCAGAAATTAGTGCTATAAATATCCATCCACCCACCCGCCGATACTCATAACTCAACAGCTCTTCTTCCTTGCTTCTCTGCTCACTCACCGTTCTCACCTCATTTTTTTTATATCCTATTTGTAATTTTATTTCTGCCGGTGAGTTCCGGCGAGGTAGTTAGGGTTCCGGCGAGAATGGCATTGCTTTCAGATCTGGGGACGGAGATCGTGATTCCGGTGTGCGCCGTCATCGGCATCGCCTTCTCGCTCTTTCAGTGGTACCTTGTCTCGCGTGTGAAGGTCAAGCCGGACCACGGCGGCGAGCCGGCAGCTAAGAACGGGAAGAATGGGTACGGCGACTACTTGATTGACGAGGAGGAAAGCATCAACGACCAGAACGTTGTCGCCAAGTGCGCCGAGATCCAGAACGCTATTTCTGAGGGTTAGTGCATTCTTAGATCTCTATCGAATTCCCCCGATATTTGAATTTTTTTTTTTTTTTTTTTTTTTTAATATAGCAGAGTAGAAATATAACATTTTTAAGTCTTTCCGGTATTTTTGTTTTTATTTTTTTATTTTTTTATAATCATAATTAAAAGCGTTAGTACTTTGTATTATTTACCATCATTTTTCTTCAGAGTTACTAGATACTTTTTTGCATTCAGTTTATTTTGTGCTTAATGTATGATTTAGATCTTCTTTTCGAACAACTTTAAAACACCCTCCATTATTTTTCGGTCGTGGATTTTCTTGGCGGCGAATAAAGGGGGTTTAGGGTTGTTGTATTGTGGTTCAGTCTAAATATGGCATTTATGAGCTGGCGGCGAGGAATGGGAACGGATCTGATTTTTTTTTATTTTTTTTATCACCGTTACCTAGATCTTGGAAAGATTGTAATACAATTTAAAAAATGCAGCTTATCTTCTGAGGAAACTTTTGTCTTATATTTCTAAAAGTTAGTGACCCGTTTTCCAATGTTGAAGAATAGTTTATTGTATTGCACGTGTGGAGCATGTGAGATACTGATGCTGTGTTGCGTCATTTAATATGTCTTCTTTCATACAGCTCTCTGTTTAGAAGGTAACTTAGTTGGTTTAGTATCATTACTCATTAGGGTATGTAGCTAACTATTGTTTTGTTATTCTTGTGTGTTTCTTGATGAGTTTGTTTGTCGAACGGTAGTCGTTTAATGTTTTAGGAGAGTTTAAATTGTTAAAATATTTCAATTTTCTAGTTTGACATGATTGTTAAAAGATTTAGCTCCTGATAATGTTATTTCCGACTATACAGGCGCGACGTCTTTCCTGTTCACCGAATATCAATATGTCGGCATCTTCATGGTTGCATTTGCGGTCCTCATCTTCCTCTTCCTGGGCTCGGTCGAGGGTTTCAGCACAAAGAGCCAGGCATGCACTTACAACAAGGACAAGCTGTGCAAGCCAGCTCTCGCAACTGCTCTCTTCAGCACAATATCCTTCGTGCTCGGTGCCATCACATCTGTCCTTTCCGGTTTCTTCGGTATGAAAATCGCAACCTACGCAAACGCAAGGACAACATTGGAAGCCAGGAAAGGCGTCGGCAAAGCCTTTATTGTTGCGTTCAGATCCGGAGCGGTTATGGGTTTTCTCCTCGCTGCAAACGGTCTGTTGGTTCTGTATATCACCATCAATGTATTCAAGATCTACTATGGCGAGGATTGGGAAGGTCTTTTCGAGGCGATCACTGGTTATGGTCTCGGTGGTTCCTCCATGGCTCTGTTTGGCAGAGTCGGTGGTGGTATATACACCAAGGCTGCTGATGTCGGCGCTGATCTCGTCGGAAAGGTCGAGCGGAACATTCCGGAAGATGACCCTAGAAATCCAGCTGTAAGCCACTTTGCATTTAGAAAAAAAGACGGGATTTTGTACTTTGTAGTGACCTATACATTTTTTTCACTCTTGCAGGTGATTGCCGACAATGTAGGTGACAATGTTGGAGATATTGCTGGAATGGGGTCCGATCTTTTCGGTTCGTACGCTGAAGCTTCTTGTGCTGCTCTGGTCGTGGCTTCGATTTCCTCTTTTGGGCTGACTCATGACTTCACTGCAATGTGCTATCCGTTGCTTATTAGCTCCATGGGTATACTCGTTTGCTTAATCACTACCCTTTTCGCTACCGACTTTTTCGAGATCAAGGCTGTCAAGGAAATCGAGCCAGCGTTGAAGAAGCAGCTCATCATATCCACCATTCTTATGACCGTGGGGATTGCTATTGTCACATGGACTTGTCTGCCATCATCGTTCACCATTTTCAATTTCGGTGCACAAAAAGTTGTCAAGAACTGGTTAGTGACCATTCCACACTCAGAAAATAGAAATCCTTTGCTCTTACAGTCCTCTGTGTTTGTAAACTCACTTGATATTTTATTACAGGGAGCTGTTCCTCTGTGTTTGTGTTGGGCTTTGGGCTGGACTAATCATCGGATTTGTGACTGAATATTACACCAGTAACGCTTACAGGTACAAAAAAAAACCTGTTCCTTTTCCATACCATCATTTTCCGGGCGCAGTTTATTGGAAATAAATAAATTTTACTTATTCCGTGTGCAGTCCTGTGCAAGATGTTGCTGATTCGTGCAGAACTGGTGCTGCGACAAATGTTATATTTGGTCTTGCGTTGGGATACAAATCGGTTATAATTCCCATCTTTGCGATTGCAGTTAGCATTTTTGTTAGTTTCAGCTTTGCTGCTATGTACGGTATAGCAGTGGCTGCTTTGGGCATGCTGAGCACAATTGCAACTGGATTGGCAATTGATGCATATGGTCCTATTAGTGATAATGCTGGTGGTATTGCTGAGATGGCTGGTATGAGCCACAGGATTCGCGAGAGAACCGATGCCCTCGATGCTGCTGGAAATACCACTGCTGCTATCGGAAAGGTATTATAATAATCTCCCTTTTTTTTTAATTTAAAGAATAAGTTTTAGTTTTGAAAATCCCCCTTTTTTTTCTAAATCTAATTTTGTTAAAAAAAATTGAAAGATAAAAATTGAAATTTTGGAAATCAAAATAATGGAAATTGGAAGGTAAAAATTTGTTCCAAAATTGATTTTTTTTGGATTGGAATCGTCATAATTCGGAATATCTAATTTTGTAGTCACCTATTATATAGAGTAATTAATAATATTATAAGTGTAATTTTCGGGAAAAAAATTGTATTTTCAGAAATTAAACCCATAACGGAAATCAGAATCTATTATGTATTCCAATCCAGTTCCAAAACAATTCGAAAATTGGGGAATCAGAATGAATGTTATTCCAAAATCTGAAATATCCAAGTCAAAATTAGGAATTTGGAAAATCAGTTCCAATTTCCACCCCTACTCACACTATAGACCTTACACAAATATTAAACATTAATTCTTTTTTGAATTTGTTTTCAGGGGTTTGCAATCGGATCCGCAGCACTCGTCTCATTGGCCCTCTTCGGTGCCTTTGTGAGCCGTGCTGGAATTACGAAAGTTGATGTGTTGACCCCTAAGGTCTTCATAGGTTTGCTGGTGGGTGCAATGCTCCCATATTGGTTCTCAGCCATGACAATGAAGAGCGTTGGTAGCGCAGCTTTGAAGATGGTGGAGGAAGTGAGAAGGCAGTTCAACGAGATTCCGGGCCTCATGGAGGGTACTGCAAAGCCCGATTATGCCACGTGTGTCAAGATCTCCACCGATGCGTCCCTTAGGGAAATGATACCACCTGGCGCCCTTGTCATGCTTACCCCTCTCATCGTTGGAACCTTTTTCGGCGTTGAAACCCTCTCCGGTGTTCTTGCTGGTTCTCTTATTTCTGGTGTTCAGGTACGATTTCCTGTTTCTTTCCGAAATTTAGGATTTTTTGTTGTTCAAGTACAAAACTGATGGATCCGTATTGAAATTAGCAGTTACGAAAAAAAATTCGATTTCTTTCGGAAGTGGAAAACTAATTCCAATTCCGTTCCAAAACATTCGAAAATTAGGAAAAAATGGAGTGGAAAAATTGTTCTAAGATCGGTAATTTTTGGATTGAAATCAGCTGAATTAGGAAGTTCCAATTTTTAGTCATCTATAATACAAAATACACAAAGATATTGATACTATAAGTGATTTGTGTTAAAAAAATCAGAATCAGAATTTTTGGAATTCAATTGTTCCTAAATGGGAAAATTTCGGAGTCAAATCGGTGGAATTTGGAATTTCCGCTCCAATTTTCACCCCTAATCGTACCGATACCTTAGGATTTCTAATCTTAATATTGCATTAAGTACACACACACATACACACACACACACACACACACTCACTTAATATATGCTATTTTGTATTATACAGATAGCAATTTCTGCATCCAACACTGGTGGTGCATGGGACAATGCAAAGAAGTACATTGAGGTAACAGCTCAGTTTTCACAAGCCAAAAACGGTTCCGTTATTTTATATTATATATAAATATTCTCTAACCTTAGGAAGTATAAATTACTAGGCTGGTGCTTCTGAGCACGCAAGAACACTGGGCCCCAAGGGATCGGAGCCACACAAGGCGGCCGTGATCGGAGACACGATTGGAGATCCACTCAAGGATACATCGGGTCCCTCACTCAACATCCTCATCAAGCTCATGGCAGTCGAATCCCTCGTTTTTGCTCCCTTCTTCGCCACTCACGGTGGCCTTCTATTCAAGCTCTGAACTATATGATTAATCAGTACTCGGGTTTTATCTTCACCTCGTCATTTTACTGAGCGACGTTTCGTGTGTTTTTAATGAGCTGATAATGATGATAATAGTGATCTAAAGAGGCGGTGTTATCTGTTTTTTTTTTCTTCGTCCCAAGGCGCTTTAGAATATCTGTAGTTCTATTTGTAAGAGGAATTAGTTTTACTTTTTGCTCAGGTAGCATTTATTTGTCTTAGGTTTTTGGTTGTCCTATGTTGTTGTAACATTTGATGTTGTTGTAACATTTATTTTTATTTGGTTAAATCCTCTCTACTTTTGTTCTACTATTGAGCCTTGCTTCTTGATATAGAATTTTGTTTTAGTAACAATTACTACAACTACTACTACCTCAATTGGTTAAAAAAAAAAAGAAATATCGAAGGATCTAGCGGTGTGCATAAATTTTTTATCGTCCAGTTATCTTTGGGTATCCGATTGCGATTCATTTTAAAATTTGTTACCGAAATCATTAGGGTTTAGAAAAAAAACCATAAAGAAAACATTATTCATCGTAGCTTTTGTATGGCTTTCCGGTTAAGAAGATGTGAAAGCGCGTTTAAACACTCGGGCTATTAGTGAACCATCTATGTAAATCATCGCACCTATGGTCCAGCATATCCAATCATTGATTATATAGAATGAGTACGCATTTATTCAATTATATACTTTATTTAACTACTTAATTTTATCGATTATGTTAACAAATCGAGCTCAACAAAACTTTTAAAGATTAATATTGAATAGTTTAGTAGATTTTTAACCCTATATAATATGTGTCAAGAATGTTCACAAAATTATATATATGTAAATATCTTTTTTTTTGAGAAAAAATGTATAATTATTAATTTATATAATAGCTAGCAAACCACACGTAAGACGTTTAAACTGAAATACTTATATAAAAAAGAAATTTAAAAAACAATAAACAATAAAAAAAAATAATGATTATTCACTATTGAAAATAGCCACCCGTTATTTCAACTTCAACCGTTTTTTAATCGACCCAAAATCCACACATGGAAGTAGAAGTAAAGCTCCGCCTCCCATCCTCCGCCGCCCACGAGCGCCTCTCCGCCATCCTCGCCCCTTACCACCGCCGCACCCACTTCCAAGAGAATCTCTTCTTCGACGGCCCCAACGCCGAGCTCGCCTCCAGCCTCGCCGCCCTCCGCCTCCGCTTCTACGACCTAGAATCCCGCTGCGTCCTTTCCCTCAAATCAAAGCCCCAAATCTCCGACGGAATCAGCCGAATCGAAGAGCAGGAGGAGCCAATCGACCCCTCCGTCGCCCGCCAGTGCGCCGCCGATCCCTGGCGCCTCCTCCTCCTCGCGGAATCCTCCGGCATCATCAGAAGGGTGAAGGAGGAATTCAATTTGGGCGACAAGGGTTTGATTTGCTTGGGTGGGTTTCGAAACGTGAGAGGGGTTTACGAGTGGAACAGGCTGAAATTGGAGCTGGACGAGACGCATTACAGCTTCGGCACGTGTTACGAGATCGAATGCGAGAATTCGGAGCCGGAAAAGGCGAAGATTTTGATCGAGGGGCTTCTTCAGAGCAGTGGGATTGAGTATCGGTACTCGGAGGTTTCTAAATTCGCCATTTTTAGGGCTGGGAAGTTGCCTGAGTGAGTGTAACTATTTGATTATGTTTATCCCTTGTGTTCATGGATAATTTTTTTTTTAAATGCAATCTGCTATCAGTTTCATGAAGAAGATTGAATTTTTTTTTTTTTTTTTTTGAATCAGGTTAGGTTGAATTGTTGATAGTTGGAAATCGGATGGATCAGATTAGAATTGATATTTCGAAAAAAAAAAATTCCATTTTTCGGAATTGAAAAATGGAAACAAATTATAATTCAATTTCAAAAGAATTCAAGAAAAATCGGAAATTGTTATTTCAAAAATTGGAAGAAAAAAAAAATTGACATCACAACTTCAAATTTTTAGGAATTTTCGCAAATTAAAATTGGATCGATAATCATAATCAAAATCGAAAGAAAAAAACGGAAGTTGAAAAATAGAAGGAATCCGAATTTGTTCGAACGAGAAATGCCCAAAACGGTTGCGAAAACGGGTTATTCAAATCTAACGGGGGTGTGAATTTATGATAACAAACTATTTTAATAAATATACCAATCACTAATCAACAATTATCCTGCATTTGTTAAATGAAATTGAAACATATAAATTACTACTTCTTAAGCAATTTAGGATTAAGAGCAAGGTTAAGATAATAACAAAAAAACATCTAATTATATAATGTTAAGATAATAGAATCAACACTTACTTAATTGTGGTCCGTAACCATTAAAAAAAAAAAAAAAAAAAATCGTTCTTTACGAAAAAAATTTGAAATAAAATAGAATCTCAAAATTTCTTGACTGAAACAAACTTAAATGTACTTTCACTTCTTCTTCTTCATCGGTCGTTGATCTTCTTCGTCATCACTGTCACCATCATCATCTTCATCATCATCCTCGTCGTCATCATCATCATCATCATCATCGTCATCATCCTCGTCATCATCATCCTCGTCGTCATCATCATCATCGTCATCGTCATCACTATCACCATCACTAATACCTCCGACATCACCATTAGCATGAACCTCGTCATCAGAATCTCCTCCTTCAGCACCATTGTCATCATCATTATCAACGTCATCAACATCATCATCCTTGTCATCATCATCATCGTCATCGTCACTTTCACCAGCATCTTTGTTTTCGTCAGCAGACTGTGTAGCTTTCTTAAGGTCGCCAAATGGGAATCTGTAGATTGGAGTAGATATTCTACAGTAATTAGTGCTCTTACCCTTACGATACGGCGTGAAAAAAACAAAAAAAAAAACGAAAAGGGTGATAGAAAAACGAAATACCTCTTGTCGGTCTCTAACAGAGATGGAAATACATTGATATCACTAAGCACAGTCCCACACTGAAAATATTCCAATCAAATAATGTCATTTTCATCTATTCTCGACGAACACGTGTGCAAAAGTAAGTTAAACAACTTAACGTAAAAGTTAGGAACTAGGAGAATAATAAGTTGCATAAGGTCGATATGACATCAAAATTAATGCTTGCAACTTGTTTTAAGCTATGCTAAATGCCATTTGGTGAAAATCGGAAAATAACGTTTATAGTAATGTTTAAGGGAAAAAAATCCTTCTCGTGCCAATTGGCTAAAAGATTCATTTTTTATTGGTTTCTCGTGCCAATTGGGAACCAAGAATCTATGAGATTCTTGTTTAAAACATTCATTTTGGCTAAAAGATTCATTTTTTATTTGTTTCTCGTGTAATTATAATCGACCAGAATCCAACAAGATCGTAAATTTAAGAAGGATTGAGTTATTACAACTCATTTTTTCAATAACTACTCGTAGGTTAACACTCCACAAAGTAAAATTATTACTCATCATCGATTCGACACCTTATTAATAATAAAAAATTAAAAATCACTTATAAGTTGCCACGAACGTAAAACAACTAAATCGGGATCCATAAACGACAATTTAGTAAAATAAACCACAATTTAACATAAAAAAGAACTAGGCTAAAAACATTCATACAACAATTAACTGTCCCAGCATGTTTGCACACACAACCTTAGCTTCGAGACAAACCAATTGACCGAGCCCGAACAATAACAAACTTAAGAGCAAAACAAAACCTTCGAAAACACAAATCCAATCCTTAAAGCCAATAGATGCTAAAAAAATAAATTCAAGATAATGGCAAAAGCAATCCAAAAAACAAGAACATGGCACAAAATCTACATCCCATTAATAAAAAAAATAAAAAAAACAAAAGTACAATAAAGGGTTGCAGAATGTACCACCAAAAGAAGCAAAAGAAGAGATTTCTGAGAACAGCAAATCATGTTCTGTACAGTAACAACAGAGCAAAGCTTCTCCACCTCCATTAATCTTTTCCCAAAAAAAAAGCTGCAAATTTATGGGGAGAGAGATAAAGAAAATATTAAGGGGAGAACGAAGGGGAGAGAGAGAAGGCAGAGGGTCTTTTGGGGAGTGTTGGTAAGGGAGGGAACAACACATAAAAGAATTCTAGGGTTTTGGTATTTTAGGCATTTGATTTGGGGCAATTTTGTACAATTATATTTTTTTTCCGGTCAAAGAATATAAAAAGGAAATAGTTCATGCAAAATAGGTAATAATATAATTACAAAATCTAGGGTTCTATTTAGTAAATCATTATTATTGATGCATCTATTTTTCTCTAAATACCCCTTGGATAAAATATCGAATCTCAGACTCTGGTCTAATAGCTCGCAAAGCGCGGTGAGATGTTAACGGCATTGAATATAAACGGTAGACGACAAGTTGTGAAGTTCGAACTTGAATCATTTGACGGCGTGCGTTCGACTTCATTTAGTTTAGGCTTGTATTTATAACTTGTGTCAAATTTATAATTAAATACAAGTATTGAATTTTATTTGATATTGGTTAGTGGAATAAATTGTTTGAATCCACTAATAATTATTATATATAAAAAAATATGAACTTCTATATCCTAATCTTAATCTTGAACATCTCCTTGTCCAATTGTAATTTTTTTAGGAGAAGTACAATTATAAATTAAATCATCATAAACTTATATGATATTATCCTATCAAATTCTAGATTAAAGTAGACTAGTGTGATTTGTGTCTCTCGTATGATGTGCAAGTTATTACACGAGAGTGTAGATTTACCCAATACAACCATATGTAGGAGTTTAAATTGGACAAATCAGATTGGAATAAACCCTTTCAGAAAAAAACTCTGATTTTTCCGAAAGTGAAGAACTAGTTCCAATTCCATTTAAGAAAAAAAACTGGAAAAAATTGGAATGCAAAAAACCTATTCCAAAATCGGGAAATTTCAGATCGGAATCGGCGGGATTCGAAAATTTATTTTTTGGTCACCTAAATTTTGAAATACACAATAATATTAGTATTTTTAAGCGTAATATTCGGATTTATTTTTTGTTTTGATTTTTTTTTTTGTAATTTTCGGAACTTAAAATCGGACCGGAAATTGGAATATCATATATATTCCAATTCAATCCAAATTATTTCGAAAAAAAAATCAGAACTCGAAATTTCGAAATTCACAATGAAAAATATTGTTCCAATTCTACCCCTACCTATATAGTTCGACGCGGATTCCCTTGTTTAAAAAAAAAGAAAGGCAAAAAAAAGCTATAACCAAAAAAAGGTTAAAATGGGAAAAATTAAAAAGAGCCATATTATTCAATTCTCCAATTAAAAAAAAGAAAAGAAAAAGAAAAGTAGGAGAACAGAACCCAAGAACCCCCAATTCTGTCTGCTCTTTCTGATAGGTCTTTCGATCATTGGTACTCAGATCTAATTACTAATTTCCCAATCAGAATCCATCTCTCCCTAAATTTCTCAGAAACCCCAAATCCGATTTCCCATCAATTCTATCTGTAAGTCAATCTCTTTCTTCCCTGCTACTCCGTCGACATCTATATTTATCGCCTATACATACACATACATACATACACACAATTTTTTTTTTATCGAGCGTGTATGTATATAGTGATAAACGCAAATGGATAGCAATTACGCCAAATTAGAGGTGAAAGACGGCAGCTTTCAATCCAAAACTTCATCTCTGAGATTGATTTCGCCCGATCACGAAAACGGGTATTCGAACCCACCCAATGCAGATGATTTCGACGCCGATTTCGACGATTTGCCCCTTATTTTTGGTGAAGAAAGAAAACCCGGGTCGGGTATTTCTAGCGCTGTTTTCAATCTCACCACCTCCATTATTGGGGCTGGCATCATGGCTCTCCCCGCCACAATGAAAGTTTTGGGTCTGGTTTTAGGTCTAATCTTGATTTTTTTAATGGGGGTTTTATCCGAAATTAGTGTCGAATTATTAGTCCGATTTTCGGTCCAGTGTAAGGCAACCTCGTACGGCGAAGTTGTCGAGGCTGCATTGGGCAGAACAGCCAAGACGTTGTCAGAAATTTGCATAATCGTTAACAATGCCGGTGTGTTGGTTGTGTATTTGATCATAATCGGAGACGTTTTATCGGGTTCGCTTCGTCACATTGGGGTTTTCGATCAGTGGTTAGGGCACGGGTTTTGGGATCATAGAAAGATTGTAATTTTAGTAGTTCTTGTTCTTTTTCTCGCACCGCTCTGCACTTTGGATAAGATCGACTCGTTGAGCATGACGTCAGCAGCCTCCGTGGCGCTGGCAGTAGTGTTCGTAATTGTCGTGGTTATCGTAGCTCTTATAAAACTAGTCGAGGGAAAAATTGAGCCACCGAGGATGTCCCCGGATTTCGGATCCAAGAAAGCCATTCTCGATTTGCTTGTGGTCATTCCTATAATGTCGAACGCTTATGTGTGCCACTTCAACGTTCAACCTATATACAACGAGCTCGAGGGGCCCACCCCTCGTAAAATGTACCGAGTGGGTAGGATAACAACCCTTATATGCGTATTGGTGTACGCATCAACTGCAGTGGCGGGGTATCTTCTCTTTGGAAAAGATACCGAATCCGATGTGCTAACTAATTTTGATAAGGATCTTGGAATTAGGTTTAGTTCGGCTTTGAACTACATTGTTCGAATCGGTTACGTTCTTCATTTGGTTCTTGTTTTCCCCGTGATTCATTTTTCGTTGAGACAAACGGTGGACAGTTTGGTCTTCGAAGGGTTGAATCCCTTGTCGGAGAGTAGGAAGAGGTGCTTGGTGTTGACTTTGGTGCTTTTGGGGCTTATATATCTCGGCTCGACTATGATACCGAATATTTGGACGGCGTTTAAGTTTACGGGGGCGACGACAGCTGTCTCGTTGGGTTTCACATTTCCGTCGCTAATTGCGTTGCGGTTGAGCAAAGAGAGAAACGGTTTGAGCTGTGTGGAGAGGTTTCTTTCTTGGCTGATGTTGACTTTGGCGATCATAGTTAGTGTTGCTGGAGTCGGAGGCAATATTTACAGCCTGAAAAGCCAATCTGAATGACCCTGTTCTTCGGGTTTTTGTTTCGGAAAAAAGGGTAATTTGGTAAATATCGAAGAAGTTACGATTCGATGAGCCTATGATCTATGAGAGCAAACATGTGACCCGCAGAAATCACATGTAAGTTTGTTCCTGAATAAATAAATGTTAGTAGTATCTTAGAAATTGAGACTTTGTATCATTCTTTAAATTTTTTCTATTTCCTTTTTTGCCCCTTTTCGAAAACTATAAAAATTTTGCTTTCTTATTTCCCGGTTCGGTACCTTACCTTATAGTGACGATTCTTCTGTACAATTTGACTCTGATGATTTAAAGATCTGTTTTGTTCGTGCTTCGTGATTACAAAGCGATGATCGGTTTAAGTCGATTCCAAGTTTGTTATATAACAGTATCCAACTCAGTTTGCAATTTGACTGATCTTCGGAATATAACAAAAATATAAAACAAACAAAAATTAAATGAAAATGTGGCGATATCCTACATCTAAAGTCAAGAATCTTGATCGAGATTAAACGAAACAAAGAGGCGTTTTTCCAAGTACATAAGGGGCATTTATATTCATCGAGAAGAATCGGCTCTCGCACTCGCTCCTAGGCGAAGATCTTTCTATATTCTTTATATGTTAACCATTGATTTTTCTTATTATGTTTTCAGTTTCAGTTGAAGGCAAATAGGATTTAGGATCTTTAGTACTTTCTGATGCCTTAACTTCTTACTGCCATTTCTTGAGCTGTATTGAAGGCAAGTGTGATTCCTTTAGTACTATTTGTCCTGTGACATTCACTTCACAACTTCATATGGCCAAATTACGAAAAAACCCCCTCTTGTTTGGGTAATTACAGCCACCCCTCTCATTTTAAATATTTTTACATAAAATTTATGTAATTCGGTTATTTACTTAATCAAATCGTATATTCAGTTCAGTAAACGGTATTAAATGTTGGCGTACCGAAATTTCGGTTCCTAAATTTACATCTAGAGGGGTTTTTTGGTAATGTAATACATAGTTAAAAGACGGCCTGTAATTACCCAAACAGAAGGAAGCTTTCGTAATTTGACCATAACTCGTGGGGTGGCCGTAATTTGCCCTATAATTTATAATATCCTTGTCAAATAAATATATTGTCTTTTACTCGTTACATTTGTTAGGAAAACAAACTAGTTACGTACAAAATTATACGGTACGGCGCCTGGATTTATGAATGAAAAATAAAAAAATTGGGTCAAATGTTTACCGGAGTTTTAGAGCATCGCTCCCAATATTTTCTATGAATATTAATTCTTTTTTTTAACAAAATAAGTATATATATATATATATATATATATATATATAATATATAGATATATAACTTTAATTAAATAATCTCCGAATTTGTTTTCTTCTTCTTGAACCTTAGGTACGCATTGAATCACCTATTAAATTAGTGGGGATTGTGAGTATTGTTTACCCTAAAAAAATCATAAATGAGATGACCCAATGATTTATTGTGGAATATATATGCATTGAATTAGATAAATTCCAATCATATCCTCAAATTTAAAACCGGAATAAATAAATAAATAGAATTTCCTTAATATTAAGCATAAAATACAATAATTCGACACAGTCGATATTAGTGCATTCATTCATATACACACAAACACACACACATACACGCTTCTGAATATACAGTGTAGGTAGGTAGGTTGATCATGTGATTTAGTGTGTGCAATTAAATCCATTTTTTGTCAAATTAAATTTATTATTATTTATTTATATTATTTAAAGTGTGAGTGACACCTGCCCCTGTTTTATCAAAAGGACCATGTCCTTAATTAGGGCAAGACCACACTTTTTTTAGTCTTTTGTCACTCTCAATTTTCCAACTACCAACCAATAATATATAGCTGGTCCAATTAAGTCTTTATGAACTAAAAAAAAAAAAGAATTAAAAAAAAAATAGAACTAACATTTCATCTTCTTTCTTCTCTTACAAACATACAATTTCTAGTTTATAAAGAAGAACCAAGAAAATGGAGTGGTTTACATGGCTATCTCAAACCGGCCTCGAACCGCCACTAATTTACGAATACGCCCTCACATTCGCCAACAACGAGCTCGTCGAAGACGACATACCCTACTTGAGCCACGAGTTTCTCCAGAGCATGGGAATCTCGACGGCTAAGCACCGTCTCGAGATTCTCAAGCTAGCATCATCATCAACGAAAAAGATCAACCGCGGAAGGAAAATCGCGGACCCCGTTTTGTGGTTCGTCTTCGCGATGAAGCGAACCAAGAATTACGTCTCGGGCCGCATCCACGCGTTGCTAACGGCGCGCCGTCGGGAGAGTAGTAATCCGGCTCTCTCTGTGGTCCCGCCGATGAGATGCCATAGTTTGAGGTGGAAGGTGGCTATGCTGCAGAGGAGCAAGAGGGTGGCCGTTAAGGCGAATAATAATAATAAACAACGGGAATTGCCGGTGTCGAGAAATGATCGTAGTCCTAGGTTTGTTGTGGATGGTGATTGTGGAATCTTGATGCTGACAAACGGGGGGGACCCACAAAGCCCGGATTCGAGCCCGAGCTCGAGATGGGCCGGATCGGAGGGGCTGGCTAATAATGCGTGGAACAGCAGCTTTTCGAGTAGTACCGAAGAAATCATCAAGTGGGATTCGATGTTTCAGAATTTGAAGCCCACATGATTGTAAGAGTTTATATATAATTATATATATATTTGTATATTAATCTTCTTATTTCACATGAACAACATATGTTTCTTGTTTTATGCACATTTGGTTGATTTTTTACTCTAGCGAAACTAATATAGAAGAAGAGGAGAGTTTTGATACTCGATTAAACTATAAAATCAGGTGCGTTCGTGTCAATTTAATACTCGATTAATTAATTAATGATATATTCAGTTCATCGTTCTACGATGAAAAACGAGACGAGCGCAGCTAAACAGCGAGCAAAACGTCTGCAAGCTCATAAAAGACAGCAACAAAATAGCAGCCAAGAATGTCATAGACTGCCACGAACCGAAAACGTGTCGTTTCAACAGCTTTCCGATTCTAACCCTCCATCGCCCCTCGTAGTAACTGTTCACACCCTCGATGACTTCGTCCAAGAAGGGCACTTTCGTCAATCTAATAGACTTGCTCATGCCGTTCCACAAGTTAGCCACGTCCTCATCGCTCTTCAAATGGTTCAAAACGATGCCCTGTTCCCTCATCAATTTTGCGTCTTCTTCGGTGTCGATAATCCCGTTCATTAATTCGGTGTACCGCGCGAAAATCAACGGCCCTGATTCGTGGTTGCAGGCCTCGTAGGCCACGAGGTTTCTCATGACCACTTCTGTGTTCACGTCTAATCTAACGGTTGGGAGATTGAAGGTAGCCGTTTTTCTGTCGAAACTTATTCCGAAAATGCCCTCGTTCGTAACCGAAAATCTCACTCCTGCCATTGAGAGATCGGTTACGGAAGGGATTGTGATTTCCTCCATTAGTGGATGTTTGTTCGAGTTTTCGTTTTCCGTGTTAGTTTCTTCTCTTTCTCGAGAAAAACACAAGTATTCGATCTGTTTTACCACAATCATACCAGGAAGAACCGATACGATTTTCCATGAAATCATCAGAAGGAATTTAACGGGTTTCGAGATCACCAATCTTTTGATCGAACTCATAATCTTTCGAAAACTAATCTTTTCACATTCGCTTACGCCTTCCTTCTCTGCATCCACTGCTATTTCGGTCAATACCTCCGATTTTGGGACAATCGAACGGTACAAAAAATCGAGCAAATGAGCACATTTCAAAACTCGAGAAACATTATTAGGCATCGATTCTCGATTTATCTTAAAAGGCGAAACCTCGTTGCAAAACCCCATCAGCATTGTGTAAAGCAAATCATCTGCTCTGTCAACTGATCCCAATTGGAACTCCACCATTTTTCTTAAGGTAAACAAGGGTATCTGATTCTCGAGCATCACCATATCCCTAATAACAGCATCGCACCCCGATTTCCGCCCCTCTCCGGCGGCGGCAAAAACCTGAAGAAACTCAATCAAAAAACACGAGTCCACCGCCATCATCCACGCGAGGGTTTCGCCGTTGAAATTCAGGTACTTGTGGTAGCAAGATCGAAACTTTATCTCGAATTTCGACAAACGGTCGACGAAATCGTGGAATTTACGGCTGCCGGCGAGCTGCCTCTGCGATCTCCTCGCGGCGGAGATTTTGAATTTCTCCATTTCGTAGAGATCGGGGCGCCAATGGTGGTACGGGCCGAGCGATACTTGCTGCGGGGTGTAGGATTCTGGGCTGGCGAGGGTTAGGGTTTTGGGGACATTGAAAATTGAAACGGGATTGCCGGATTCTTGATCGAGATCTTCGTCGCCGTCGCCGTCGTCGTCCAGGGCTCGGCGAATGTGGATGATCCACCGTTGTTCGTCGAAGTTTGGGTTTTGACAGAGATGTGAGGAAGACATGCTTCATTAATGGCGGGTTTTAGTTTGTTTAACTCAACGTAGATTTATTAATTTGAAAAATGGATGAAATTAATGTTTCAATTTTGGAGTATAATTAAATTAATAATTAATGTCTTGTTTTATGTTACTTATAAATACGTTTCGAGCATCTATTTATCCTTTTTAAATTTTGATTATCATTATTACTAGATCAAATTATAGTTTTTTTTTATAATAATTGGATATATATTTTTATCTTTTACATTTTTTGCATTTTTATTAGTAAAAAATGCAATTGTAATTGTAATTTTTTTTGAAATTTGATTAAGCAAAACATTGGATTGAAAATGTACGTACATACACAGGAAAACGTCATATCCAGAAAAAAGGGATGCGAAATATTGGGGGAAAATGTGTAAATATTAAAAGTATACAGGTATATATTATAAATATATTATATTAACATGCATAAATTTTTATTTACATATAAAATCTTTTTATATATTTGCATACAAGTATGTTCAAAATAAATATTATAGTAACTATTAAGTTGCAATTAATCATTAATCATATAATAATTACGGAACCAACAAAAAATATTTAAAAATTTGCTATTCAAACATGCTTCCAACTTTAAAAAAATTACAAAATAACTCGTAAAATGTCTAGCAGATGTCCTCGAATATCGAACACAAACGTATCCATAATACGGATACATCAAGAAATTGAAGTTTACATGCTACATAGTTGAAAATATAATTCAATTATAATTGGATGTGATTAAGTTTCTGTAACATGATTTTAATTTTTGAATAAAAATAAAATCAGGGAGTAAAATAAAATCATAGATTATCAACTCCTGTCAAGTCTATATAATTTAGGGAGTAAAATAAAACATAAGTTTTGGTCTTAAGTGCAAAACACTTGATACATATGTCCTGTAATATCATTTACGAAAAGTAAAGGGGCCAATGTGAAACATAAGCTAAAATTAGAAACCGAATTGTATCTATAATTTTTCGTTTTCCCAATTCGTCTTTCGAGCACGGCAACCTATATATACGAAAAATCGATTTTGTTCAACCCATTTTCTGGCGGAAACACACACACAGAGACAAAAAAAAAAAAAAACTGAAAGATGTTGGAAGAGACTTCAACTAGTTCGAGCGCCGCTGCCGGAGCTTTTCCGGAGGTTTTGTTCCGGTCGCCGGTTGTTTTGAGTTCAATCGGAGATCCATCCACCTCCGTAACTGCACAGGCTTTGCATTTCTCTTCCGGAAACCCTAGAATTGAAGAGATCAGAGGCGTAATGCATTTCTACCGCGATGACATGGCTTCATCGTCTTCTCAGCTTCCAGTAAATCGAAATTGACCAAACTCGTTTAATTTCCAGCCAATCATCATGATTAGTTTATAATATAGACTTCGCTCAACCTAATTGTTATTTTATCTGATCCTCTGATTTCTGAACTGTTGCAATTGAGTTTACTTCTTACGTGAATTTGAACTTTCGAAAATTTTCTGTTTTTGTTTTTTTTTTTAATATGGATATATGCTTTGAATAGTTGCTCTCTAGAGTTTGATCAATAATATAAATGCTAATGAAATCATTACTGTTAAATTAGTATCATTATTCTGTTGCAACTGAAAGTAATTTGTTATTAGCAACCGCGGGGTAAAACGGTTTATAATTTTCTCCCCTGAGTATAGAGTTTTTTTGTCTTGAATCGACCGAGTGCTCTGTTCTCTGTTGTCACGTATGTTTTCAGCAGTATGTAATCATTTGTCAGAAATAAAACTGACTATACAAGGATAGTTCATCAATTTCAATAAAAAAATGGGTAAATGCTTAAAAGAGTTGCTTAGTAATTCGACAAGATCTCAATTGGAAATAATTTTTTTTTCGTGTTGTTCATTGGATAGTGCTCTTGTGCATGATAGTATTTGATATGCCTTACTTTTTGTGTTGTTGCTTACTTAAATTTAATGCCTTTTAGGTTGATAGAAAGCCTCTGATTTGTGTACTTGGGGTCCCCAATCACATGACATATGCAGACTTTTGTCAGTTCTGTGGCTCATTCATTCAGCACATGTTGGAAATGCGAGTTGTCAGGTTTGTTCATGAATTATGCCAGATAATTTTCTGTTTCACCACCTCGTCATGATTTTCTTATATTTGCAATTCAGGACAGAGGGAATGGAGGATCGATACATTGTTTTGATCAGGCTGGATGATCAAAATTCAGCAGATTCATTTTACAAGCATTTCTGTGGAAAGCGCTTTTCGTCTCTTGAGGTATTTTCTCCTTCCTATCATAGCCTGGAAGATTGGAACTTTAAGACCTTGGAAGATTGGAACTTTAAGACCTTCAGTAAAGCGTATCCCTTGTTCCTAATTGTTTCTCTCTTTGAATGCAGGAGGAGACCTGCCGCATGTTTTTCACTATAGATATACAGTATACTGGATCCATTGAGCACTCACAGCCTTCCACTGCAAGCTCTGTAGAGCAGCCCTCTTGTCCAGTCTGTCTCGGTACTGTCCTTGAACTTCCATTAAGGAAAAGGAGACTTTACTTCTGGAATAGATGTTAGCACGTCTTGGTAAATTGCGTATATTTTGAAGTTTACATGCAACCTCTTACTATGTGAATTGGATATTAGATCTCGAGTCCTCGACAATATATATTTCTCTGTCCTTGATTAATTTTCAATAGGGAATAAATTCATGGCTTCTGTAATCTAAAGGTCATTGCTTTGCGAGAGTGTGGATATTTTGACCAGTCTCTAGAGTCCAAGGATCTAAATATTGGTTAAACGAGTTTTTATGGTAGTATAAGAAGATTTTTTTCTTTATCGTAAACTTAAACAATGTATAATGGAACTAGGCTCCATGTGCATAGGTACAGAAAGTTGAAGGGCTAACCACTCAGCCAGTGTAGGTAATTGAGGTTTTCAGTATTGGACTCGTAGTCTTTGTTATGTTGTCCGTCAGAGATTATAGTCCTCGAAGATATCAATTAGACTGATGTGTTTTTGAGGTTATCATGTTCTATTGTGTCTTTGGAGTGAACTGCTCTTGTTGTGTCTGTTTTCATCTATCTTTTTATACATAGTTGTGTCTGTTTTCATTTTTCTTTTTATAACGCATGAATGCTAATTAGTTTTACCAATCAACTGACTTTGTTTTACAATTTTCTTATTAATTCTACTTGCAGAGAGGTTAGACCAAGATACAGGTGGAATTCTTACTACAATCTGCAATCACTCCTTTCACTGCTCTTGTATTTCTAGATGGACAGACTCTTCTTGCCCGGTGAGTTCTATTTCATCAGCATTAATGTTGTTATCATTTAGGATAACATGCCTAAGCATTTGTAGAAATGGAGATCTTCAAATTTCCCGTTATTTGATTTTATAGTTGACTACTCCTTTTGGGCATCCCTTGTTTTTATGTGAAGGTTGAGAGGCAACTGATGGATGTATATGATGAGATTTTTGGTGTTTGTCTACCAAGTCACTTAAACGAAGTCCTATCCCATACTTAAGTGGGGTCAAAATGTCCTAGCTGGAGTTTTTAAAAATAATTGAATGTGTTTTTTTTAAATAACCCTGGAGTAATCATATAGTAATCTTAATGTGTTGAAGCCATGCGTTTTGGGAATTTTAGCGCACTCTGAACTATTTTGTATAACGCTAATCGCCTTCTATCTGCTGTGTATATCTGACTAGGTTCCTGTAATGTGATTTTGCTTTTGAGTTGTAAAATGCCTTCAAATAACGGACCCAGTCTGATATTTGCAACTTGTTTAGGTATGCCGATATTGCCAGCAACAACCTGAGAAATCAATATGTTATGTTTGTCAAACTTCGGAAAATCTTTGGATGTGTGTCATATGCGGCTCTGTTGGCTGTGGGAGGTATATAATCTGTTTCCCTCTAAGTAGACTATATCCTGATATATTCCATGTAAATATTGTGCCGTGACCTGTCAGAAAGTTTTAACGTTTTATAAGGCTTTTCACTGTGGAATTCGGTATAGTTACAAGAACGGGCACGCCATAAGCCACTGGAAAGAAACAGAACACTGCTATTCCCTTGAACTGGAAACTCAAAGAGTGTGGGACTATGCTGGTGACAACTATGTTCATCGACTGATCCAATCTAAAACTGATGGAAAGTTGGTTGAGTCGAAACACCATTGCTTGCATAATAATGATGGTTGCAGTGATTGTACTGGATACAGTGGCACTGTTTTGGACAATGAAGTTGAATATGTAACTTCTATCTTTTTTAACTCTTTGTTTATGAATTTATGTACCATTCTCATCTATTTGTGTAATTCCTGCATAACTTTGGTATTTCTGATGCAGATAGTGAATGAGTACAATGAACTTCTTACTTCACAACTTGAAAGCCAGAAAATTGTAAGTTCATCTGAGAATTGATTTACTAAATATTTTGGAGGTGTTATGTTTCTCGGATTAGCACTAGAAGTAGTTCTTTACCGCCTTCATTTTATTTAGACGTATTCTAGATTTCTAGTGCTATATATTGTAGATGACATTATATTTGCTTACTGAACAATTCCTCTCTACTTTGCTCACAGTATTTTGAATCTTTACTGCAAGAAGTTGAAGAAGACACAGCAAGAGAATGTTGTTTAGCCGTTGAGAAAGCTCTGAATCAAAAT